CCACACGTCAGGCGATGATACATGTATAAGCTATTTTTATGTCATTCATAAGTATTATTTGGATTACTTTTAGGCAGTTCTTTCTTTGTAATTGATAGTATTTAAGGACTGAGATATAATGTAAGTCTAGCGCTTCTTTTTCTTTTTTGTGAAGTGCCGCGAAATATTTGTTGAAATACAAAAGTGATGAAATTCGGAAATCCTAGCGAATACTAGTGTGAGAAAAATTTAAATTGGCAGCAGCTTCCTGTAACAAATGGTGTCCATTGAGGACTGCTATAGTGATATGGAGTACTTGACAGGAGTCATATGAAGATATTTTTATAGGCATAAGAACATGTAATTTTAATTGCAATCAGTCCGTTCTATTCCAAGGTATTGCAACTACTTTTTTTATTAATATCTCTAAAATATTTTCAGTGTGATCGCTATTTTAGAAATTTTAATAAAATAGTGCTTGAATTCATTTTGGTTGTTAAAAAAAATATGTTGGCCAGTCTAGAAGATGTATGTTAGCATGGAAACAAAGCCTTTACAGTAGCTATTTCTTATTTGCAATGAATCTTTTTTTTTAGGCGGGGGAGAAAGACATTAATACTATAGTTAAGAAAATACGAATAGATATTCAGTGTGTATCGTCTAATAGATATCCTTACTTGTTACTAGCTGTTGCAATGCTAATTCTGTTTATGTTAAATTCTCGCTTCAATTGTTCTATCATTTTTTTAGCATCATCAATTTTATGTTCGTTGCTAATACTTGCTGGCATGATGGAGTGGATGGCGCTGAACTGAGAGACGGAATAATCTATAGCTTGATGAGTTTACTGTCTTTAAAGTGAGAAAAGAAGAGGCTGGGAAAAGCAGGAAATTGAGTAAACAATAGGGTATTATATCTGTCTTGGGAGCAACAATGAAATAAAAATTTGTTGAAGTATTTTTATTGCAGGTAAGTTCTAAAGGATAACTAATTGGTTGCTACGTAATCGTAACATTGAAGGATCGCTCTGCTTTTCTATCATATTATGCATAAAATGAATAGAAATGGTTACAGGCCTTTGTTACTAGTTAAAATGTTAATTAAGTTGATATATTCAAAAACAATATTGAACTGGTGATGCTTTCGCAATTTGACTATGCATATTCGTAGAATTTGTAAATTTGGCTGGAAATTACCCCCAAAACAAAATAATTACGTACTGAGAGCAGAATAATAGCAAAATGCAATACTTTCTATTTCAATCTCATAATGCATGTGGTCGGTATCTTTTGACTAAGTTGATAATTACTGTGTAGGGTTAAAAGGTCTGTTTGACTAGAAGTGATTGTTCTTTATTTTTTAATTTCATTCGGGTATTGTCTACATTCACTATCATGCTTGTAGGGGAATAACTGGTGATAGAATCAATCATTAAGATGGGTAGCCATGGAATATCGAGTCATCTCTTATCTCATGGGGAAGATTAAGTAGTACAGTACTGTAGCATCGATAATAGAATTAATTAAAATGCAGCAACGGCCTATAAGGAACATAGGCAATTGTTAGAAGAAGAGATTGAAGATTTTAATTTGAAGGATACTGATATTGAGACAATGTGCAAATTTCATTTCAAATTTCTGCCAGATTGGCTAGAATGGCCAGTCGATTTACGATTACACTTTCGCTATCGTTTATGAACTAATATAAGAATGCAATGCAAGTTGAAGTTGGGTAGACAATATTGAATACTATGTCATAATAAACTGCAATAGAATCGTCTTATATGCGTCTTGTCGGCGAATAGAAATATTGGATAGTGGCAGAATCATCGGAATGAATTGTTTCTTCATACGATAGCTATAAGCGTCATTGAGGATTAGTATCGTGAGATTTAGCGTCTAAGAGTAGGTCTGGTTTGTGAATAGACATGAATAGATGCAATCAATGGCGACCGTACATCGTTGATTGCTTAGTGTTATAGCATTTTATAGATAGTTTTTCACGACATGTAGTAAATAAGGCAAAGTCATTCGATAAGACAGCTGGATCGAATTTCGCGACTATGCTCAAACATACAGGTGATAACGGTGTAATAATGACAGTAAAGGATAGTAAAGAATCGCTTTGAAACGAAAAGGAATTGTTATTGCTAGAACATTCTGAATATCAAATTAATAATTTCCATGAAAGTCAGTGGACTAGAGCCTATTGAGGATATTTTATAGATATTCTCTCAGGTACTAAGTGAAAAAAAAAAATAAGTATAGTAATGGGTCAGTTGATCAAAAATACGATATATTGAAATAGCAATATCCAAATGCTGCGCACCTTTTTTCATTTTACAGTAGGTTATAAAAATTGTCTATGATACGATAAGAGTCAATTTCGAATAACAGAAGACAATTTCGAACTCAAGTATCATTAATCGGTTTTGGTGTTTGGAGAGAATGCACAAGGCACAAGTTTTGGTGAAAGCCATTAGGATATTTATTCATATTTCTCTACTACGACCGAATATAGAGTTAATTCGATTCTGAGGAAGAGCTAGATTTTGAAAATACTATCCATCGGCTTCTATACCGATTTATATTCGTTTCCTTTATTTATCATACACATACGAGTATATTATTAGTACAGCACATGTTATTTCTTGTCCAGCCATCTATTAATACTACGTAGAATAACCGTTCATTGACTACCGTAGCCCATTCATTATTGGCGTCATGAATGTTGTCCATTCAAAGAAATACTCCTAGGCTAACGAAAATGCTACAGTGCCGATTTGTATGCGTTTCTTCATTTATCATTAGAACATGCCATTTCTTGTCCAGCAACCCCATTAATACAGTGTCAAGTGACTATTGATTGACTGGTCATTAATGATTAGCGTAATGAACGTCGTTCTTTGAAAGGAGTAGCTAAACGAAAGCACTACTGTGCCGGATCGTATATGTTTCTTTAATTACTAATGTCATGACCGTCGTCAACTGCAAGCAATGGCTAGACGAAAAGACTACAGCACTGGTTTGTGTGCGCTTCTTAATTCACCTTCAGCTAAAGTAATGCGCGTGTTTATACTCCACCGCAGTGTCGTGGTATGTGTTGTTCACTCTAACTTGTAACTACTGTAATTAGGTGAAATTATTACGAGCAGTCAATAACCGGTTCGTGCTGTGTGCAGGAACTGTTTATTAGGCCATCCAAGAAAGATGGCAATTACTGCATTGTTCATAAAATAGTACTTCGCAGATCCACTTGATCTTCCAGACAAATTAGTTTTTATTCTGCATGAATCTAGCCATTGAATTCATTGAAGTCTACAGTATAGTATCGCACGATTGAAGACACCAGCGTTACTTCGTTTTGCACACGCTTTCCAACACTGGCCAGTGTCTTGCAAAGTCAACAGGAAACCCGACTGGAAAGTGAGATTCGGCTTAAGAATTTCTATGGTGATACAGCGTATGTATAGCGATTGCAGTCATTTCGGGTTCGAAAATCAATTATTTGATCGAGTTCGGGTGGCGTTTTCACTCCATTGCAGAACTCTGCTGTACTGTAGACCGTTCACATTTTAACTTAATGTTTCAGAATGACATTCCTTTGCCATCCAGTTGAAATGTTAAGTGAAAGGACGAATCTTAGTACTATAGTACTATGAGTATGAAGGTTTATTACCCCAACAAGAGGAAATTTACTTGGAAATTTTCAATCCTTCAAGTTCAATTCGAATTGAAAGATTGTCCTCTAGTCCGTCAATGTCGCGTCCATTTTTATCCTTCAAGTCCAATTCAAATTGAAAGATTGTCCTCTAGTCCGTCAATGTCGTGGCCATTTTTATCCTGACGAGTATATTACCAGCGTACAGTGTACTGTACGAACGAATAGTATTATACTGTACAGTACTGTACGTTTAATACTGTACCGGTACAGACATTTCCATTGATATTGTGTGTTTGCGCTAACTGGATATTTCCTGTGGATTACATTGCGTTCTAAGTGTGAACGGCGCACGTAGAGAAGCCGCCGTTTTTCAATCCAAGAAAGAGAGGGTAGAGTTAGTAGTTAGTTTTATAAAAACTTCAACGACGTGTTCAATTTCTTGTCTGCATGCTCATTGAGAGTAGTAAGAACTTTCAATACAGTTGTTAGTATGAACTCTAGATCGTAATCCACAACCAAGACTGTATACTATACAGTGTATAGTACTGGCTGTACTGCACACTAGCTAATGTACCAGAGAACTTGGCAGAGAAAATCACAGCTCCATCCATATAGTACGTACTGCAGTTGTGGACTTGTGCTAATGCGTACTGACAACTATTTAGGATGAAACTTTTGCGGGTGACTTCATCGACACATACGACCGTACGGTACTGAACAGCGGCCGAGGGAAGCAACCATATTACTTTACATCGTACAGTAGAACACTGAATAGAGAATGCCTGACTGAGCACCAGTATACTCGTGTAAAAACTTGCAGTACGGTACGGAACGAATTTCGACGATGACGTAGTTCTATGTTACCGTGTGATTCATGCCATCCGTTTAGTGCACAGTGTACAGTGTACAGTACGCTGCGATGTACAGTACTCTACTGTACCGTACTGGTCGATAAATCACTTCAACGTGATTTCAGTATGCAGTACTGTACACTGTGTACTGATTGCGTACATGGACCGTGACGTATATATTATTTGTCAAAGCTGACCAACGCCAGTAACTGGAGACGGTCTGGAGTCGACGTTCAAGAAGAATTGGCCAACTTTCCATGCCAATTTGGCTGCTGCATAGGATCCACACTTTTCCTCCTTTGACTGACTAGTTCACTACAAGTAGATAGGGTGTTGATCATTTCCAATCTCTTGGTTATCATCTTCTCTACAAGGGAAACCTCTTGCCCATTACCATTCAACTACTGCACTTGACAACGCCGTGTATATTGTCGTCTTCAAGGCTAGGCTGCCCAAAGTCTGGATAGTAGTCAACACCCCAAAAAGGACAACATGTACAATTCTCAGATGAGCCATAGTGCTAGTAGTGGCAGTATTCGCTCGGAACTACTTGAAGAAGTTAAATTGTACAAGAATGCTCGAGAACGCGAAAAATATGATAATATGGCTGAATTATATGCTGTTATTAATACATTGCAATGCTTGGAAAAAGCGTACATTAAGGATGCCGTCCCTCCAAAAGAATATACTAGTGCATGCTCGAAATTACTAGTGCAATATAAGGCAGCTTTTAAACAAGTTCAAGGCGATGAATTTGCTACTGTGGAAGCATTTATGAGACAGTATAAGTTAGACTGTCCAGCGGCCTACGAAAGAATCAAGGAAGGAAGACCCATCACTATTAAAGATGATAAGGGAAATACCAGCAAATGTATTGCTGATACTGTTTCTGTAAGTTACAACAATAACGCTAGTTCAATGGATTGACTTACTCAATCGAGCATCCTTGGATGCGTACATCACGTATTTGCTCAGCATAGAAATCAGTCACAATCTACTTTTATGCTGTAAATCATGCATAAATGATGCTTTTGACTTGATGAATACACTGCAGTTATCGATGGATTCAATACAAACACTTTCAGTCTTTGTTCACGATATATCACAGAATCTTAGGGAGTTGTCATGAATTCTTGTATTGATCCCACGGTACCGAAAGTGATGATGGTTCTAACATGACCAATATAGTTTAGTGGTCGATGTATTAAATACAGACCTTTATAGTCTTTACACGCTATTTCTGACAGTTTAGGTAAGCTACTCTGTCCTGTATTCTTGTATTAATCCCTGATATGTCAATGGTTTACACTTACGGTAGTAATAGCTAACAAAGTCGCTTAAAACGAAAGCTATCATCTATTCACAAAGAATCGATATAAAGTAATACTATTGGTTAAACTAAAAGGCTAACTTTATAATGTTATCATTTCTATCTTATTGATTAGCTATTTATTACCATCATGGATAAACTGAGATTGGAAATTCGAGCTACCGATGAGTTACAGCCTGACTTGCGAGAGCTACTAGAAACTATGAATAGGCTTAGCACATTACCTTCCGATTTCGAAGGCAAAGACAAAGTCCTACAATGGTAAGATGATAGTGTAGCACTAGCGATATGAACAATTTTAAAATAATCATATCAATAGAATAGACGTTAACCATTATATTTCCAATTGACCATAAATTGGTCACTTAAATATCTACTGTAAAATGATATAAATTAATTATAGACTGATAATAGGGAGATGGCTAATAAGGTGCCTTTTTCCTACAATATTATTAGGCTTACCACACTATCAAGTATGAAGGCGAGTGATGAGTTAACGGATGAGCAAGCAAGGCAAATGATATTTGATTTAGAAACCGTATATAATGCATTTAATCGCTTGCTTGCTAGTTCCTAGTCTGTTGGACAATGATCTCCAATTCCAAATGCTTAAGTTTATAATAGTGCACCTATAATACAATTGGCATGCGCGCAATTCATCTCTACGGTTGTCCTACTGTAAATCTAATCTTTCTAATTCATAGAAAGATGTTAATTCACTTTAATCGTTAGATTTTGGAAGTTTAATAGCGTCAATCATACGTAGTTTAACAGTAAAAATCGATAGTCTTTGAAGGCGGTAGAAAACGTTACAATTTATAAATTACAGATTAAAAGGTCGTTGCACCTTTTTTTATATCAAGTCAAAAAATAACCGCCAGTTACCGTCATTAAAACAATTTTGAAATCCATGAAAAGTTGAAATGAAATTGGAATACTTTAATGATAAAATATTTTCTAAAAAAAAGTGCCGCACTTAAGAATTCTGTACTGTATAGTATGATAGTCTTTAAAATACTGTGAATTTTTGCAACAAGCTAACGAAGCTTGTTATAATGTCTGACGTTAAACATGAGGCCAAGATGATATAGCATTGTCTAAAGAATAAATAATAAATCACATAGCTAAAGAGATACAAGTCGTTGATAAGTATATTCAGGAAAACCATATCACTAGCGTCATTAGTAAGCTATAAGTCCTGCCGGTGCATAATTTATACATCTTTTGGGGACTTGGAGGTCCAATTCAATCTGTATATATCGGTACTAACTTTGTCTCATGCATTAATTTAAGAATTTTTTGTTTCAATCCTTGGTCACTATCGATATTTATCCAGTTTTTAGAATCTTTTGTAAATTTTGTAGTTGTTGCAAATAAAGTTAGCCAAATTCCATCATGACCATTAGTTTCTCCACTGTGTTCTACAGAAAGTACGCCTTTGATGTCGAATGTTCCATGATATCCTGCAGACTTGCCATAAATTTAAAATTAAAGACAACCTTTGTTAATAATAACGGTTTATTAATCTCCTATCACTATGAATAAGTTAATATTGGCCACAGAAACTAAAAATCTTGCAAATAATGACATAACACACACGTTGAATGACAAACTGAGTAAATGCTAATACCTTTACCGCATTTTCGACAGCAGCGGGTCCTGTCTTACGTGCGTGTTTATCAAGAACTGAAATTGGTAAATGCATATTCGGGCCTAATTCAGCAAGGATATATACTTCTTTTGTGCTAAAAAGTAAACGTAATATTAATGAAATAAATGTTTGTATCATGACGATAAAAAGGTATGATCGTCTTTGATTCTATATTACAAAATTACTCTTTTATGCATCCGGCCAAAAGAATTCGAACTGCTACGGTTTTATGCGGGCGGCAAACGGGCAATAAGATTGCTTGTGTATTTGCTACTAGATTTTTATACCAGCTTTGGGTACGCGAGATGACATCCAGAGCATCCTTACATCTATAAGAAAGCCGATAGTTACTAATCTACCGATATTAAGATTACTAATAGTCATTATGGATTCAATTCATAAAGGAGTAACCTTAATTTTAAATGGCTACGGACTTGTTCATCAGTGAAATAATCTGCCTGTATCGATTCATGGTCTTGCTGTTCCGGTGTTTTTAATTTACCTTCCACATCTTGCCCTGTAAAAATGAAGCGAATCCAATGACCATCATACCATTCTACGCAAACTAAAGATTTCGGTGTAAATTTAATTCCGCTCTCTTCTAATACTTCGCGTTGAGCACCAGCCTTAATGAACAAGGAAAGGCAAATAAAAGCATAAAACTAAATTTTGATTTTGAATGCGTTTACTTAAAATTAAGTATGCAGCCTAGATGTGCAGCATTATCGAAATCCAAGCTATCTACACGTGTGAGGCCAAAAAAAATTAATAGGGTGTAGTGCCAATGATCTACAGCAGTACCTCTAGTGTTTCACCAGTTTCTAACCTTCCAATTGGCAAATACCATAAACCTCGACAAGATTTTTTCGCTTCTTGAATCATTAACAATTTATCATCTTCAATGAGAACTCCGCCAACAATGTAAGTAACGTTACCGGCACTCTTTCGCAGAGAGGCTTGCAAAGCTATCGGTCATCATAAAAAAACTGTATGAACAGATTGTATTTGTAACAAAAATATAACCGGCTTAAAATTTTAATTTTATTCTTTCCTGCAAGCATTTTATGTTATAACTAGCGCCCACTTATTTATTGTAGGCAATTGTTCATTCATCAAAGATTTTCCGGCTGCGATGTATCGAGATATGAAAATGTATCCTGCAATAGGCTCGTATGATTTGTTATCCGTAATAAACTAAAAGCAATTAATGTAAGAACTTGACCGCGACGTCAGCTACTTGTTTAATTTCAAATTCAAACTCGTCCAGAAATCACGTAAGACTGAATGAAAAGTATTATAGTGGTCAATTTTCATCACAATTTACATCGTGTAAATCGCGAAGCTAAGCTAAAAATAGTTGGTTTATAATCTCGTAAAAGATGATCAATTGATGCAACCAGAAGTTGTAACTTCATATTCTTTTAATGTTAAATCGTTTCACTTCATTTTAGCATGTGCAACGTGTATGGTGATCGAGTAGAAACATAGGAAGGCAGATAAATGGATTGCTTTGCAGCTTGATTATTGCTTCGCAAGTAACAAAATAATTATGAATAATAATAATTATATAACCAGCCGTTAAGCTAGAACGCGGTACAACAGCAAGGAAGTAAACAAGCGATAAATGATTATAGAGTAACTAAACGGAAAATGTGACCCAGTCAACGGTAGTCTAGAAAGATTAGAGCATCACCAATCGATGTGTTATTTGTAAAGGCATTAAAAGTGTATCTATTGATCAAGTAGTCTACTAATCAGAGTGATCATAGGTTATCAATAGAGTAAAAGTTATTAATAATCTGTAGTACAGGTACACGAGTCCAAACAATTAAAGGATAGCAAGATTTATATAAACTCTTAATCGAAATCGATTTATGCAAGAATGATTGAGAAATGACGTAGAACTATCCTACTAAATTTATTTCAATCGATATTACGAGAAATAACTATTGACTAAAATTATGGTTAGCAAATGATATCATAGGAAATCAATTAGGTATATAAATTTATTGGGCCAAGGACGAATACATAGTTTGCTAGTCATCATCGATTCTACGAGAGTTAAGGATCGAACAACCTACCTTTAGCTTCGTTGACAAATTCGTAGCTTTGAGTACATGGTTGGCCTTCAATCACTTCCCAAACACTACGAATAAATCGATCCATATTCAACAACTGACACTAGGCCTACTCTACGCGTATATATTGACACGTCGATAGTCAATCAGAGTCCAATCCTTTTTAGCTTGAAATGGTCATTAATTCAATCTTTCAAAACAGATCAAAACTTGGATTGAACATCACAATACAACCTTGAAAGATTTGTATGTTGTAAATCTTAACAATAAGAAATAGAATAATCGTAATACCCGTATAAAAGAGTTATCATTGACGGGAAGATGATCATAACCATTAACTCTCATCAGATGATAGCGTAAGCAATAATTTCAGCTTGCAGCGTTTGAAAATAATTAATTAGCCCAAGACGAATGCAATGTCGACGTTCTGCTGGAGGAGCTGGCCAACTAGTATAGATTATAGGATAGCAATGTCGCTGTTAATTGATATAGATACCCAAACATGGCCTACGATGCCTATGTATTAGTTATTGGAAACAAAGATGTGTTCGATGTTGGCTCAAAAATATCACTGTTGGACACTATCAGTATAGCTACCTAAACATAATGCATGATTAAGTCTATACTATAAGAATTCAATTGGAAAATTATACCTACCAGATTTGCAAGAGAGGCTTTAAACTTGGCTATAAATTTGCTTTCTATGCAAACAAATACTTGACTATTCATTTATATGTAATGCTATTAACTGCTTATCCCAACGAAAAAGGCTAAGGATAATTTTACCCAACTGTATTGTGTGATAAACGTCAATTCTATGTGGGATTTAGTAATCCATAACGATACAGTAGACTTTATTCATGATGCTGCAGTTTCCGCAGATCTCATCTCGCGACGCTCTACGTTTCGATTATCCTAAGGCAAAAGGTTACTAACCATCCCTATCGCCAAGTTGCAAATTTATGCAATGCTTTCCTATCAAGTACATGCTCTTTCTCACTCAATAGCTGCTTAAAGTCGTCTAAATCAATAGCTTCTACGTCTAGGTTATTGTTCGAGTGCAGTTGAACTACTCAAGCCGCTATGATACAGACTCAAGGAATGCTATACTCGAATGTATTAGTAGGTAGTGTTCCTTATTACTTACTGCAAGTTCCAATTATGGTCAGTCTATTCTTGCGTGTCTAGATAATTCCCCGTGCTTACAGTAGATTACTTCTTAAATACAGTAATCACCTAGTAACTATTCAGTCGGCGACCTTATAAGTAATACTACTCTAAAATATTTTATACGTATATGCCTGCTAAAATTTTTCAAGTTATAGGCTACAAATAGGATACAAGTAGAGACTACTATAACTTGTTTTAAATAGTCCCTGATATAAGCAAGAAACCTTAAGCAATTCATCACACCAGCTTTCAAGTATTAAATTAGTCTTCAATTTTCACAACCAGTTTAATAAACAATCCTGAAGCTAGAACCTCAAAGCAACCCTGCACAATGATGGTCTACACGCTTCTTGCCACTATTCCTCTACAGCCAGAAACGTATTCTTTCATACTTTACGTTATGTATTGACAGCAATCAGAAAATAACCTTTACGTTATTATAAATCAAGATTTTTTATTCATTACATTGCAGATTATTATCTCGCCAAAAATGGTTAAAAATATTGTTATAGAAGTAAACATTTCAACAAGATTTGGGCTTGCAATCAAAATACAAACCGATACATACCAATTAAAAAATAGCAGTATGTTGTTTACATTTTAAGAGTAATATTAAAGTGGTGTATCAACCACCAACTACCTCTACATCCTCGTTACTATTTCAAGTATTGTAGGCCAGAAAGATACCTATGTCATAGCCCGACCTTACACATGTTATGTCATACTTTAAATAGTTAATAACAGCTTAGGCTGGGCATGATAAAAAGTAGTCATTACAGCAACTATGTTATGATTACGTTCCATTAGTAGTATTTAACATAGGAAGTCATAACAGAATAGTTACCGAATTAGTTAGACAACCAAATGAAGATCAAAATTAGTTCAGTTCTACGTCGACAATATAAAAACGGTTTTTAAAATTGTTCATGTAGCATGAATTACATAAGAAAATAAGCATACTCAACGCTAAAACACTTCATCTGAACCTTATATCAACTATATCGCCCTATTTCAATTATTAGCTATAGGATAAACTGCAAGTGTAGTTTATTAAGAGAATGGTATTACACTTTCTACCCAAATGTTATCGTTGGGAAATGATTTGAAATCTTATGTAATATCCATGTGTTTTCCATTTCAATTTGAAGTTAATTATAGCTAATAAACTAAGCATTGCTTGAGGAATTCATTGTATTGAATCTTATTTGTCAAATCTTTGTTGTAATAAACCATCAATTGGAAGAAGTCATCTTCTGATATATCCACGCGATACTGGTGCAGGATATCACGAAATTGTAATTGAGTTACATAACCAGTATTCTTGCTATCATAAGACTAATTAAAAGAATTCAACAAAACAAAATTAATCATGATGGAAATATTTCTATTTATTATCATACGCTTGTCTTTATATTGATATCTTACTTTACAAGTTCGACGTATACTTTTCCATTGCTGTTTAATGGAACCTTTAATTCGGATAAATACATCGGCCAAGTAAACATTGGTATCACCAACTTTAGGCACCTAAATCAATTGAGATATTAATAGCCTATCCTTAGCTGCAAAGTAATCATAAGATAATGAAATATCGCCTTTCTGACAACTATACTCACTTCTTCAGCGGGTAATACGGCACGTTTTGGGCTTTTCTCCACATTTTTTACTTTTAGGACGAAATAGCTTAAAAATTCCGCATAATTCAATCTAACAGTATAGGTTGTAATTAGTCAGTATAGTATATAATAATATGATGGTTACAAATTTTAAGTATAACCAAATAGAATAGAATCTTTATCTAATAAGGCATCAGTCCTAAAAAAATAGCTTTAGCAAAATACCTCATTCTATCTTTGTTGCTAAATTTCTCCCATAGCAATGAAAATTGACTATCATCGAGAGCTATACGATGTTGCTCCAAAGTTTCTATACAAAGGTGCGCAAATTATGCTTAGATTTGTAGAAACTAGATTCTAAATACAATTAGATTAGTATTTGATCATTAATGCTCTGTATCCAAAGTTTAAGTTACGAATACTGATCATAGTATGGAATCTATGTACGTGAGTATAACATCCACTATATTAGATAATTAGCAAATACAGTATTTCTACGGTCATGTAATAGTGACTTGTATGGATAGATTGATGTAAAACAAATTATTAGTCCACTATTATGTTCTCATATACTGATGATGGCTATTGAAGGTACCTTTAAATTCTCTCTCGTTAATATATCCGGTGTTGTGATAATCAAATCGATTAAATGCCTTACGGATGGTCTTCCAGTGACTAACAATCTGAAAGAAATAGGTTACAGATTAAATGGGAATCATTTGATTACAGTTATAATTGCTGTTGAACAGCGTGTTATTGAACACACGAGAGGGGCATTAAACTAAACTTTGAGGATTAAACGTTTAACTTAATTTTCTGTCATACCTTGTCCTTGATTAACTTTTCTGTTGGTTCTGCGTTCACTAAAGCGGCAACGCTATTACCAGAATTTAATCTCGGTGATGGTTGGCCGACTCTAGGTGTTGGCATAGATGGTCTCTGTTTGAATATCGATGAATACATATTTAGGTTTTATATGAATATTAAATTACTGCATATATGTGAGAGCAGACAAATTAGATTGACCATGAGTTTGATATGTTTATATGAAAATCGCAAACACTCGATGGTCTTCTTTATTCGTTACCTTTGTTGGAGATGTGCGATTTGCCGAAGGAGTTCGCAGCTTTGGAGTGTTACTGCCAGATCGGTTAGCATAAGCTCGCAAAACGTTGTTATAATTAATAAAACCTTCATCGCCGTTATCTAGTTTTTTCCATAACTTATTAGCCTATACAGGATAACGAAAGTAGTCTAGTTTAATAAATGATCTATTGCGTTATTGGGCTATTTTCATCCGTAAAAAGAAAATTATCACAACTAAATAAATATCAGTATCGGATAGAATTCATTCTAATTTTTTACCTGATTAGGTTCTAAGCTGAAATCATATTCTTCTAAGATTTTAAAGAAATCATTTTTGTATACAAATCCGGAGAATGAAGGATCATTTTGCTTTAAGACCTACAAATAGCAAAAATGCACCGTCAACATGATAGCGATGATGACAATAGCCTCACTCCATCATAAAGATTTACTGTACACGTAGTCGATGGCCTTAAGCAATAAAGTTGACTATGTTAAGATGGATTCCACTTAGAATAACTTACCTTGATCAAATCATAAAATTTACTAACAACAAATTGCTTAAATTGTTGTTCAGTCTGCTGGAATGTTTGACTTGAAATGCTCATTCTACTAAACGAAAGAGCTGATACATTTCGTGAAGGTGCTCTGTTATTAAAAGTATCATCTTGTTTGGGAAGCTCCACGTTTGGCTCTTCTCTTGCTATTTCCTGCTCGATAAAATTGTTCTCTGCAGCAATATCAGTTATGTCTTCAACTCTAGGCGAATCTTCTACGTAGTTGATTTCTGTTGAATCGACATTCATAGGAATAGGAGCAATCGGTTCTGTAAAAGTTTCCTTTGGTTCTGGCGTATCTTCTTTGAGTTCAGCTGGCGATTGAGGCGTATCAGGTGCTAAAATGGCATCCATTTGGCTTTTATTTTGATTCATCTTGATTGATTTCCTCTTCTGCTTTTTATTAGCAGCTAGCATTTCCTCTTGCTTGCCTAACCAATCAGATGTCAACTGCAAGAAATCAATATTTCGTTAAAGAATAATAAACCCCTGATGGTAACCAGTTAGCAATATCGACCAAAAATCTCATCCTAGTTAATACAAAGTCAGATAAAAAGTGGTATACAACAATTCTCAAAGAAATTTGATGTGGTTAACAGGTATCGCTAGAATAATTCAAGCAATAATATATGGGAATTCATTTATTAATTAATATTATTACTGTACCTCTTCATCTGATTTCGACAAAGTACTGATTGCTTCCCTGTATGGAACAAGATCTCCAGAAACATTCAATCGACGTAGGACATGCTATATTTTTTTATTATAGATAGTAATATTAAAGTTTGCTAGCGTAGTTGCTGTAGTACAATCCTATAAAATTAAATAGAGATTAAACATCTTCTGTCAAATAGACTAACTTTAAACTGTGGATCTGTTAATCTGAAACAGAAGTTCTCCAGTACTCTTCGGAATCGTTTAACGCCAATTCTTTCATTTTCATCGACATCAAAAGCTTCTAAAGCACGTTGAATTGGTCCGAGTTTTTCTCGAACAGTTTGTCGTAGCTTTTGCTCAGCTTTATCCACAGGAAGACTTTCATAACTGACCGGGCTTGCTCTATCATCAAATCAAGTAATAAAATTATAATGTAGTCATTTTAAAATCTATAAGAATTGAAAGGCTTAAAGTAGTCGACGATATAGCAGTCTTTATTCTATTTTCATCAATATTTTAATATCTCATTTTTAATGGCTAAGTAAGGTACATCTTAATAGGAAATCATTTTATTAAATACCTTTTCGGAATGACTTCTCGAATATCAGCTTGCTTTCCGCGCTGGAAGGCATTTAGAAATTCTTCATAGGATAACTTATATTTATTGCCTAGTCCAATTCTAATTGAATATTAGGATAAATATGGTTGTTTAGAAGTCTAACATTTCAAAAATATCCAGCCATTGATCATTTCATTGACCTCTAAAGACGAAGTAACTTACCGATCGAGGAATCTATTATATTCGATTTCATCACAATGAAAGTTTAGTGCTTGCAAAATATCATGGAGTTCTTTACGGGACAAATGTCCGTCCTAGATGATTTATTTTGATAAGATTCAGTGCAAATATCTATTGGTCTGACTGACATTGACAATTTTAATTTAAGTGGGGTATAGCTGTATTCCTGACAAAACTTCTAACCTTATTATGGTCCGCATTTTCGAATGCTTTCCTAAAGCTTGTAAAACCATCTCTGAAGCGATCACTAAATATTTGTAGAGATTTAATTTTATTTAAATCTTTGCACCATTCTTTCTTACAATCAAATTATGATATACTTACGTAATTCGGGCTTCAATTTCCTCCGCAGTTAATCTCTTGCCAGCTCGAACTTGCATTTTAGCAATATATTCATGCTTAGCCTAAGAAACGTAATGCAAATGAATCAGGAGACGTTCCTGGTGGCCGTGATTCGGTTTAGCTTGATTAAATACTTAGCACAACTAGCCATTACAAAAGCTGAACACTCCCAATAGCTCGTAACTACTGTATTCAAAATTATTCTTTCCTTTACCTTTTGTGCTTGATGATGATGCTCGAAGCGATTTTGGCTTTCTTTGGTTATTTGTGTGCTAATTCCTTCATCTCCAGGTGCCAATGTTTGGCTATATCGGTATATAAATTCTCTGTAGTCAATTGAACCACTGTTATCCGTATCGTAGCTAATATTTAAATTCAAAAGGAAAAGATCAATTAAAATGATATCCAGGAAAAAGCTTATAATACTATTTCACATACTGTTATAAATATTTCATATCATGGTACTTACATTCTCCACAATTTCTCGAATTCCTCGTCAGTCATGGTTAAAGCGAAATCGTCCAAAATTATTTTAAATTCTTTACGAGAAACCAAGCCATTTCTATCTTTATCAAAGCTTTTGAAAGCCTATGGATATAATAGTTCGCATCTATAAAATAGCAGTTCCACTACCGCGATAAATTTATCCTACTTGATTTTAATCCTGATTAATATTCAAGCTTACCTTTGCAATATCATTCCATTGATTTTCAGCTTTGGAAAGTAGCAAGCTATGAACTTGTTCATGGGTTAGGTTGAGAGCCTTTTTGGTTTTATTAAATCTTAAGGAGTGGAGAATGTGAAATTAGATCATCGATATTACTTTTAAAATGAAATTAATAATGATCGCTGAGGTAAGTAAAATTGATCTCAATATTGAATGTACCTGTGTGTTGAAAACAGCCATGGATGAGCTTCCACGTTTTCTATACTTTGAAATCGCTTCAAAAAATCTTGATAACTCAAGGTATTCCTATGGCCAAAGTCAATTTTTTGTACTAATTTGTCAAATTCTGAATCTGACAGGACAAACATCATTGAATCCAATAAGCGTCGGAATTCGCTCTTTGTTATAGCACCTACATATGTTAGTAATAATCAAATTTAAGATTTGGTTAAGACACTGATTTCTATTGCAGTTTTGTAAGTTTTCATTGCTATAGAAATTAGAAATAAGAATAATGATGAAATAACTGTACTATCGAGCTCTTCCTAAGACCTACGGAAGCTGTATTGATAGTCATATATTTTATATGAATCATTTTTTTATATCATGGTGAAATGATTCAAGGCGATCTGGCGATCTTTAGATATTCCTTAAAGATAGAAACTACGGTGAAGGTTTTTCTTTTTATTTCTTTAACTTACCGTTATGGTCGTCATCAATTTTGTAGAAAGCTTCTCTTAAACCTTGAAAACCATCACGAATTTTATTCCTTAGTTTTGTCTCCACTTCTTCTGCTGTCATGGTGTACTTTTGCTCTCGGACTTTATACCTAAATGAAGGCATTTTACAAAGCATGAAATCCACTATGACGATAAGATCAAAGTTTACACAGCCTAACTACGACTCCATCTTTCAATTAGTATAACTTACTTTTGGACTGGATGGAACTGAACAGTGGGATCATTTTGCAAAGGTGAACGAGTATTATCAAATTTGTCAACAAAGTCGGTGTAAGACAGATTTCCTTTGTAGAATCCAAATCTAAGAGAAATAAGAAGAAATATTTGCTTTCAGTAACCTAAAATAGTCTCAAATATAGTCTGAAAAAGATGCAGTTCCATCGAATTTTATCTCATTTTGTAATGATATTTATTCTTACTTCTTGATCAAGATTTTAAACTGTTCGTCACTCATGGATAATCCCATTCCACCCAATACCTATCCATGCATTTCAAAGTAAAGAAATAAGCTTAATAACAGCGTAAGCTAAAGAAATCCTTCAATTTTAAGACGTTATCCGGATTAATTGTATTCTGACGTAATAACATCAAAGGATAATATAAATATATAAGAGATACTATACGAACCAGTCGAAATTCGCTTTCGGAAACTTTGCCGTCACCGTCTTTATCATATCGCTGGAAAACCCGACGGATATCTGATGAACTTTGAGTAACACTGTCTTGTAATTTTTTCATGACAGCTTCAGCAGTCATTTTGCCAGTAAGATCATGGGCTCTCTGCTCTACTTTACCAAGCCTGTAGATTAATAAGAGATTAATATCTTGCTCTTTCGTAAAGACTTTACGAATAGAAAGAAAATTTGCTGTACAAATTTGTCAATACAGGTAAGTTTAAAGTTAAGATGTAAGATGAGATTTGAGGAAAAGATAGAAATGAATTCAGTATACAATGAGACAATTTAGTGTGGCGTTAGTTGATATTTCTACCTAGCAGCTTGATCATGTAGACGTTTCTGTTCCATTTTATCACTTTCATCGTGAATTTTTGTACTTGTTCCGTAAACATCTCCTTCATTAATTTTAAGACCCTAAATAGTTTCAGTGATTTAATTTAGCCTTCAAAAAGAATAAGCTTAAAGATTCAATATGAATGTTCACTTCGAGATGATTTTACAACATACCAAACGTTGGACAAATTCTTCAAATTGGATGGTACCATCACTATTAACATCGCATCGACTCCAAAACCTAAGTGTAAAGTAATAGTTTCGTCATAAAGGATAAATGATCTCACGATAGCTTAGTGTGTAAGCTGAATAAATTTGATGAACTGGCTAAAAGTTAGTATTAAATTTAAACTAGGGTAATAACCGACTTTGTAATGTTCCTTCTGTTATAACGTTAGATTCATAGACGAAAATTAGTCGGATATCGGTATTAGCATCACTGATATTATTGCAAATACTGATAAGGATCTGTAAATAACTTCCTTTTAATGGTCTAGAATTTCATCTTCAGCTTACGTTTTGAAATGTTCATCCGGAATAACCATAGCATATTCATTCAATAACCGTTTCAATTCGCTTTTAGAGATGGCTCCATCTTTATCTTCATCGATGGAGCCGAAAGCTTTAGCAAGTGTTGACCAATTTTCAGCAATTTTAATGCGCAGTATATCTTCAGCCTAAAGTATTATTAATTAAAATAATATCAACCATGAAAACAATGATGATGTAATAGGATTATTAAAAACATGGCAGCATAAGGCACTTAATCAACTACTCTAGATCTACCTTTTCCCAGGTCATAGCGATCGGTTTTCTAGTTTCATTAAAGCGATGATTGGATTTTAACCATTTATGCCCATCCTATACAAATAAGCACAGTAAAAAATGAAATGACTGACAACTAACTGTGCTAAAATTGCGTGATACAAATATATTGAATAAAGTTTGGTTACAATAGTGTCTAAAATTGCTGGAAAATTCTTCCAATAAATATTAAAGTAGTGCATCTTTATTTTACTACTGAATATAAATTTAATTTTGGCTCACTAAATTGAATCATTACGATCGTAGAACTAGCTCACAAGTAGTGATAAATGGAATGATCTGATTACAATTCTCAACATCAGATATTGTGGATGGAATTTGGTTTACGTCTTACCGCAGTTTCTTTCTCTTCAAAAATGTCCATAAACTCTTTATACGAGATATAGCCATTTCGGTTTGGATCGAGGCGATTAATAATTTCCCGGAATTGGTTATCACCTAGACGGAAACAAAATTTCTCGATAATTCTTCTCATTTCCTTATGGGAAACTCTGCCATCTTTGTCCTAAGTTTAATTGGTCATTAGTTTGAGTTAAATAGTGAAAGAGAGTGATTCAACGTTGAATTATGAATCTCTATCGCAACTTACATCATCAAAAGTTAGAAAAGCTTGTTTAATGCTGGAGTACCCATCCTTGATCTTTGAATTCAATAGATTCCAAATGTCTTGAGGCTGCATTTCTTTTTGCGATTCCATGATGGGGTTATATCTACAAATAGATTAGGAATCATCCGTCTTGTTTAATAAAAGGATAAAATTTCTTTAGCTCGGCTAAATTAGGTAAAGTTTTGGTTCAAAATCTCATCAATATTAAGGTAAATTATTTTTAAGCTCCTTCCATTCTAGCAATGATTTACAGTTTTTTCTCACTTATGACTAGGGCGTATAAGAAGTGTTTGGCCATTAGCAGGTAAAGCATCGGCTTGGAATTTCTGCATAAAGTGCTTCCATGGCATCCTTCCAGTTGCTCTAAAGCCAAATCTGAATATACAGTAAGAAGTAAAACTGTTATATCTATCCATGATGGCGATAACCTTCTATAATATGTTAATAAAGCTCTTTGCACGTATACGGTTATCGATTAGCTTACCTATCCATAATTTGTGTAAATAAATTGTCTGGCATAGGAAAAATAAATTTCCCTAAGATGCGGTGCAAGCGATCCAATGCGATCATACCATCATCTTTTTCATCAATAGCCGAAAAGGTTGACCATAAATCGTTATAATTTTCGCGAACCTAACATCATATGGTGTACCGCATTTTAGAATACTACAGCAACTAAGACAGATTTTAATCCGATTTTCTTACCCGCTTTAAAAATTCCCCTTCAATCTGACTGAGTGATTTTCCTTGTAGGAATGAATCTTCAGATTTAACATTTGCATCACCAACGTTGTAATAGCGCGATTTCTCAGTCTTGTATTGTGTGTTGTAGCGATTTTTAGCATTGTCTGGTTCTGAAAGAGTGTAAATAGATTTCCGTTCAACATATAACTAGTAAAAAAGATACTCTTAAATATAGCTTGTAACTATGATACTGTTAAGAGCCTAGGCAATATATGTACTCAGGACTAATTGGCCTGAAAAGATGATCGAACTCACCAGTTGGTTTTTTACCATTTGCTTCTTCTGGCTTAATTGCGTGAAAGTGACTTAAGAATCGTACATAATCAAGCGTTGGACTCGTATTGCCAGCAAATTTTGACCATAATCTAATAAATTAAATACAGAGATTATTATTATTTATTTAAATCGAATAATCGTAAAAGTAATTTAGCAATTTTACGGTATAGACTTACTTGACAAATTGAGCATCTGTTAATCTTAGGCAAAAATTGTCCATAATTTTACGAAAGTCATTTCTCAGGATCTTATTCTGTCTGTCATAGTCGCACATCCTGAATGACTTAAGGATAACTTTTCCTTTGGTGTCCATCTAAGACATAACGACATGATCAGTGAAAGAGGCTTAGCAATAACTGATGTGGTGTTGAGAATAATCTTTGATTACCTTTTCTTGAATTAATCTTTCAATTTCATCGATAGTATAAAACTGAGTCGAATCTTGATTGGGAATATGGCTAGAAATAATCGATTAGAAATTATATAGTTGTTGATTTGTGAACCTTCTACATATCAAGCAGAAATTAGTTTCAGAATTGATTAATATCAACATTATCAATGGGAAGATTTAGATTGAAGTCCTATTTTGGAACCTGGTAATCCTGGGCAGAGGCGATTTAGTAAGACTTCGTGCTCCATAGCTTTGCAAAAATTCGATATATTTAATGTTACCAGAGTCATCCTTTGGGAGCTGAAGATAAATGATACTACAAGTAAGTTTCAGATCGGAATTGGTAATGTAGCCTATTCTCTAATAAATACACCATATTTATATCCAGCAACAAGCTGAATTTTACCTTTGCCTGTATCTCATTGAACTGCAAATCAGTTAATGGAAACAGATATGTTTGAAACACACGACGAAAGTTTGCTAGCCTAATGATTCCTTCATTACTTTCATCGTAGATAGCAAATCCCTGAAAAATTTCAACGCATACATTACCGATATAGTAAAAAGATTTGATATCATTATGCAGTTTTAATCATAGAATGGGAAGGGCATTTTAATCAGGTGCACTCTAACCCATATTCAATAGCAACCTTACCTTTTTTATAAAATCCCAAGCTTCGTTGACTTTTGATGCTATTAGGGACTCGATATTGGAAACAGTTAGGTTAGCATCGGCGATGATTGGTGTAACTAAATTTGGATAATATAAACATAAACGGTAATCAAGAAGTTTTCTATCATTCGTATAGAATTTTATTAGGATTGATCCTTGTTGCAGTTTATTATCCAGTAAGACTGTAAGCTTTAAGATTAGAATAAGCAATGGTAAAAAGTTTACCTGACGCGTGGATATTATGAGAGGAATATGGTTGAGGCGATGTCCTGGATGTATTAGATACAGGCCTTGGCGAGACTTTGGTATCCGGTGCTGTCCGTGATTTTGGGGATAGCGCCATACCTCGCGCAGTTAGACCTATTGGTGGATTTCCCACTTCTCTATCTTGTCGCTTGACCATGTTACTATGATTAAATATGAGTCAATTTTAGAGCATATAAATTGAGAGACGTTTAGCAGCTGATATCTTATCAGCTTATTACCAGTCTACAAGTAAGTACTCGATTAAAAATCAACTGCATTGATTTTGGACAGGATAATTGTTTGCGGTACTATTTAACGTTTCTACTGTGGTGATTCACAAAGCAAATAAAAATATGAATGTAACCTCTAAATGGTTTATGGTATGGTTAATTATTGAAAGATGGTATAGCACTTGCCCTCTTTATCTATACAAATATCACAGCACATTTTAGTAAATGTATCCTTTTCAATAGTTTGATATCTTTGCGGAATGATACAGGGAAAGCGCATGAAACTACTCAAAATTGATACTTAGCGGGCGATGCAAAAAAAGGATGTCGGGACGATATGAATTTAGTCTTGTGCATAAAAACCAAAAAATTAGTCAACCGGTATCACAACCTGTTGATATCTTCCTATCCATGATTTATAGTATACTGTAAATGATGCCGATTTCGGCGAAATTTAAGGGCTACAGATAGTATTTAGTAGATGAATCTATAAATACGTAGGGTATTATGCTGATCTTTCTAAACCTATTCTGGAAAGTTATGCTGTTAACGTACGCCGTCATCTATATTCATCAAATTCTAATTCTGATCAGGTACTGGTTACGATAGAGGTATCAAGTTTAGATTTCTATGATAGTAACTGCATCAACATTATCATTGGTAGGTTATTGATATCTTATTAATCTTGAAGTGTTTAAAGACCATGAAATAGGCTTTGAACTAAATTAAGATCACTTTTCCTCGTCGTTAATTTTTATAACAGGGAAAACTTCTATGGGGCAAGATAAGCTAGTCATGTAAACTTTGTTGTACAGGCTGGAGATAAATTATGAATAGACTGTCAACAAGTACCGAGATTTTGCTGCCAACATGTGAAAAAGACAGGTCTACTCGTTGTTTCTGTCTAGATTTAACCAATTTCAAACATTATTTTCTTTCTAGCCATACTTACAAATATAACTTTGGATCGCTGTTAAATTTTGTAATCTGTTGAAAGAGTTCAATGGTTGTAGTTACCTCAACAGGATGAGATAAATACTCTACGAGGTTAGTTACCATATAATGATTATTATGCCAATCCTATCCTCATAGAAAGCAATATTCCCTATCTTATCTACCTTGCTAACTCTTGGCTCCCGGTAACCAAAGTAGGCTGTTGATATTACCACGCGGTTGCTATGGCACGTGATGAAGAGACGAATATTCTATGAGAGAGAGAATATGCAAATGGTGTTTCTGACGTTGCACAATATGATCATTCAAGATGAACAAAAGGATATTATGACGAAAAAAGAGCTATTAAATGAAAGGAAGAATAGATTACGATAACATTCATGGAGATTACAGTAGATAACATTGTCTCAATGTCTGCAAAATACTGTAAAAGCCAAACTAGATAATACTATCTATTACCTATTCTTCTATTTTTATTTAGACAGTTGTTTTATGATGTTAAAGTTTAACAACCTCTTTACATGATGTTCTTGCTATCTACACGTTGTATTGCTACAGTATTGTATGACAAAGTAGTTGAATGTTGCAGCTAGTTTCCATTGATAGAATGTTATTATGTTTTAAAATATTTCGTTAGCCTATTGGTGCAGTACTAAAGGTCAAGAAATAAATATTTTATTCATCAATCTTGTTTTCAATACATCCTGACTGGTATTAGGCCGGATTATAATGGAGACCTTAGTAGGACATTATAGAAAAGTCCGTTCAATACGGTCTTTTACGACGATCCATAAATAGAGCTGTCTATGACTGGTTCATTTAATTGGCTAAAAATAATATCTTGTAATGAACAGGCGACAAGGAATAATAAACGATTTAAGGAAAAGTTCGCTCCATGCAGCCTTTTATGTTGATCCATAACTGTCTATGACTGACTCATCTGAATTGGCTAAAAATTATATCTTGCAATGAGCTGGCGACACAGAATAATAGAGAACATATGCAAAGTCCCTTTCACGTACGATAGTCTTTACGTTGATTCACAACTGCTTATGACTGGCTCAACTGAGTAAGCTAAAATTAATATTTTGCAATGTGCAGGTGTCAAAGAATAACAAAAGGCCTACGTAAAAGTCCGTTCCGTGTAGTCATTACGTTGATCCACAAATGTATATGACTGGCTCATCTAAATTGGCCCAAATTTGTATCTTGCAATGAACAGGCCTCAAAGAATAACAGAAGACTTATAGAAAAATCCGTTCCATATAGTCTTTTACGATGACCCTTAAATAGAACTGTATATGACTAGCTCATCTAAATCGGTCAAAATTAATATCTTGCAATAAACAGGCGGTAAGGAATAACAGAAGACTAGTAACATATTTCATTTCTTGTGTCTTTTAGATAATTCGTAATTTTATTCGCACCATAGATCAAAGAATAAACAACTGATTAATAATGTCATCGAAAATGGCTTTTCTGACTGGTCTGTGTATTAGACCAGATGATAATGGAGATCTTAGTGGCATATTCTGTAGCTTACGGCCTTTTACAATGATCCAATAAATAGTGTGGTAAATGAGTGGCCTATCTGAGTACCAGGTCGTTATTAATATCTTGCAGTTAACGAGAGTCGAGAGTCGGAACACAGCAGGATTCCGAGTACTGTATTTTATTTTTCTTTATTGATTGACTTTGCTTTACTTGAACAAAGCTTAAACAAATGGTTTTAAAACAGTGTATGTTATTATTATCTATTCCATACAATCTTTCGGCATTATAAATCACTACTAGTAATAAGACCCTGCAGCATGTGCATTTGCAGTAAATAAATCGTGTTAAGTGTATTATTTATGGCTATCTTTCTGATGATGAGGTGCAAACTATTAAATAGCATATGAGTATTTTACAATAATGTATTCCATACGGTATGGCTTTTACGATGATGAATAACCAGTATAGCTGGCATACCTGATTAACTATAATAACATTTGCAATTAACGGGAAAGCTTGGGGCAATAGCTACTGAATTTGAACTAATCTAATCCACTTCTATTTCATAAACAGGTGGTGCCAACAAGAGATTTATACTATTGATGTAAATTTCGAACGATTAAATTGGAATAAGCAATCGTTTAGTTGCGGTTATAAATGATTCGACCGCCACTATTTTCTAAATTGAATACGGTACTTTTCATCCATTTACAATTCGTTCATATAACATTTTAACATCAAATAGTATACTTGAGAATAATTCTTTATGGATTACTAAATTCCCTGATTAATGCCGAAACGTACTTCCGTACCAAAATAGTGTCGATATATGGATTAGAAACAAGCCGTAAGCAAATCATTTAGTTATGGTTGTGAAAAAATGAATAATCCTAAATTAAAATGGCGCTGTCTATTTACTACTCGTCCACATAACATTTAAGCATCAAATGGTATGCATGGGAGTACTTACCCATAGACTACTAAATTCCCTCAGCTCATGCCAAATAATATTCTCCTGAAATAACGTTAATATTTGATTTATAAACTATAAAGAAGTAATCGTTTGTTTTTTCGATATAACAAATTAAAAACGCGACTAATTTTAAATTAAACCCGCTATTATTTATTCATTTATGGCTTGTTTATGTACCATTAAAGTATCAGTGATATACTTGAGAATGCTTATTAAATCATCACAGTAAGATTTTATCCTTTAAATAATAATCCACAGTTATAGAAATTTTATTAACGAGAATCCATATTGGATTCTGTTTTATTGTAAACCTATATGATTTGATATTGCGGAGAAAAGCTAAAGGCAAGTTTATGCATCCTCTAGACCTCGTAATCCAAATCTTTTGGCAGTGTAGCATACTCTAAGTTATTTATAATGTTATTTTTAAGGTCATGTAATAAACACACTACAGTATACATTATTCAAATTAGTATAATTAAAATTTACATGGTCTAGTCTGATTTAAATTATTCAATATAAGATCGGTGAGAAAGAAGAAAAGCAACAATAAAATCAATCTAATTTATCAATTCTTCCAACCTGGAATTATTTTATTATAAATACCCCCTTTAATTAGAGTAAATGCTGTTCTACGTTATATAATAATGTCTAATATCGACACCAAAGAAAAACTTCATACTCAACGATTGAAATCAGCCTCGCAACTACCACTCCATCGAAATTGGGTCACAACCTTTTTCATGCTCTCTAGCTAGCTGTAAAGGTCTACCGCACTTGAAATGAAAACTGAGTAAGGAATTATGGAGCTTTATTTGTTTGATTTACGTCAACTTGAAGGAGATTTATGGTCTTGATCGTCTATCATATTAATTAATAATTTAAATAGATGCATCGATTATTTTTCTTATTATGCTTCTTTAAAAATAGCGTAGTGACAGTACAATACTGAATGCAACTGTGAGATTTTAAATCAGAATCATTTTATTTACTAACTGCTTGGACTGTCGAACTTCGTGTCATTTATACGAAATTTAAGCTTAAGAGCAATCGAAATTCAATATTGGCTTACTTTAAGCGTTAGCTTTCTATTCGTCAACGCCACTCTATGGTTAGGATTAGCCACGCTTGATCTTATAAGGTTAGTGCTTGGAATAGTATCCATCGAATTTTGCATATAAAATTTTTACAGTGACGATTTTTTGGCTTCGATTTCCTTAAATCTGATATTAGTGTTTTGATTGCTAAAATAGCGGTTGGAAGCCAACAAGATTATTATAGATTGTCGAAAATTTCGAAATTAAGGAATAGAGGCATAGCTATAAATAAAATTAATGAGTAAATTTTCTTTGAACGTTATCATGTAATAGAGGTGAAGATTTCTTCAGTCGAACATTAAATTTTCTAGACAGGATAGAGTATCATCCAACCTTTTCATCTAATCCCTTCCTATACAGCTGAAATTGTCAAGGTCTTGCGGTACTTTAAGAACTGGTCAAAATTATTCTTGGGCATGATGGCAAACTGCCATATTATTCTACTGGCTTGTATTTTTTTCTATAAAATAGTCTTATTCTCCGATGCAGAGCCAGGTAAATTCTATTAGCCTTTACATCATATTAGTAACTGTTTGACCTAGATAAATTCTAATCTATTGTTATCATAATTGAGTTATTAATACTATACTTATTCATGTCCCATCCTTAATATTTCTTACCCTTCCATCGTTCCGTTAGTATTAAGCAATTATTAACATGAATCTATCAAAGTATGTATGGTGTTATTTACAGTTAATTAATTTAGGGCATGTTTCGTTAATTACTGCAAGTTATCCCTTAATCATAATAATTTAGTTCATGCATTCAACCTTAAATATTAATTTTTCTATCCGTTAAAGTTTACAGAATGATTTCAAACAGTCTTTCCTCCATTACTTTTATGAATAGAGATAGAAGGATTACAAATTGTGACGATTAAGCACTTTTCTTCAATGGAATTTATTTTTCATCCGTTTTCCTATGTTCTATACAATACCTTTATGATAGAAAGGAGGCAATTGTTGGGTTAGTTCCTAAATCCTGTTCCTTGTAAGTATCATTATCAAGAATACTATTTACTAGCATATGCCAGCTTCTGCTATATCAAGGATAAGGATATGAGGAGACAAGTTGCGTGTTTGTAAGCTTTAGAGCCTTGAGAATGAAAAGTCTAAATTGAGCAAGTGCTTAAATAATTTTCTGCCTCTGCTTGGCATTAAATGAATACCAGATGCGGATTTACAACCATTTCAATGCATTAAGATAGAAATGAACTACTGTTAGAAATAGATTGTTGAAGGAAGGAAAGAAGTCAAATCTTTTTTCCTTTCTTGCTATCTAGTTAAAGCGGAACGAGATTTAGATAAACTAATATTTCTTGAGATGGAAAATGTTAATGGTAACAAATCATCGGCTCAATTAATTATAAAAGAGATGATTAAACCGACGAAAAAAAGAAGCCATAAAATCACCCTTTCTAGTTATTAAATGAATAGAGCACGGAACTGAGGATATTACCATAGAAAGTAGTTTATTGACGATATACGAGTTACCACATAAATACAAGATAGGCCCTTGGAATTAGGAGGAAGAAAGAAGTAATCGAAAAATTTCACCATTTAGTTCTTGCTTTCGAAATCGATTACAGTCTGAAATGAAGTTTTTTAATTGAATTAAATCCTACGAGAAATAGAAAGTTTAAAAGTAACGGAAAAGAAATGCTATTCTCATTTTACCATCCAAATTAAGCTGTTTCAAGACACTCATTACATATATCTTATTCAATCTAAACCTATATCGAAAATTTTCCTTAGGAAATGTCGGCAAAGAATTTCACATTGGATTTCCAAGGGCAATAAATATCAAAAAGATATGTCCACCAACTATTACTATTACCAGTGGACTAGAGCCTGCAACTGTTAATGTTACTAATAACGCCAAAATAAGAAGTTCTACGCGTTACTACAAGGTCCCGCCTAACCAATCTCTCTCCATTGAATTGGATATCGAATTAGCAAAGCCTGATGTTGGCATCACCAACCGAACAGTTTTTATCCAGTCTGATCGAGATATTTCTGTTTCTGTCTATCAATGCCAGCTGAGCTATCTTGCCTTGCCTAAAGCTTGTAATAGTAACGAATATCTTGTTTTAACTTTACCAATCGATTTACTTAACCCAGAAAGATCGAATTTGATGATTATTGCAAGCCACGGAGCGACAAAAATTCAAATCAACTTTACAAAAGCCATTTCTTATCATAGTCCATCTTACTTTGATCATCCTCGATTGAACATTGATTTGCAACCTTTGCAGGCTTTTTATGTTGAATCTTTCGACGATTTAACCGGTACGACTATTCTATCCCAATCACCTGTAACTGTTTTTGCAAGCAACTATTTTACAGGTCACAAGAAGCAATCAAAAAAGAATTCTTACAATATTGCTATGCAATTACCTGGAGTTCAGTACTGGGGTCGAAATTATATCTTACCTGCAGTGGAAGCAAATCAAGGCCTTGATCGATATAGAATTATGGCTGCTCATGAACAAACTACAATCTTTAAACAATTTAATTCTCATGCTTGGACTTTATCCAAAGGTGCAGTACTGGATTTAGTTAAAGAGATTAGTATAGCTACCCTTGTTTTATGCGATAAACCATGTCTGGTAGTCTATACTGGCCGATTTGCTATACAAGACAAGGCTATGATCGATCCAATGATGGTTATTATGCCTTCTTTTCGTCAGTTTTTGCCACACTATTCCTTTTCAACGGGAGAATTCAATCCCTCTTATACTTATTTTGTTCATGTTGTTTTACGTCAACGATATCAAGGAGAGTTAATCATGGATGGAAAGATAATCAAAGATCAAACTAAATCTAATTTTACTCTTGCTCCATATAAAATCATTTCCATCAAGGTTGATTCTGGCTTCCATCATATACAAACTTCCGTGTCTGATGAAGTTTTTGGATTGACTCTATTTCGCGTTAATGGTGATTCTATGCAAGGGTGTCTTGGAGGAATTGATTTTTCTTCAAAATCCAATCAAGCCTATGATCGTAAGTTTTAAGCGATCTCGTATTACTTATAGGCATCCACTTGTTAGAAAGGATATAAGGGATGATATCAAAACTAATTATAAAAATTTGTTAACATTAAAATTACCTTACTGCAAAGAATCACTGTTTTCTTCTAACAAGTTTAAATACAGCATTTAACTTCCTCGAATGGAAATACAAAATTTGATCGTGCTTAGTAGACTAAAATGTATGAAGTTGAATCAATATTGAGAAGAATGTAGAAAATTGCCTTATACTAGTAAAAATAAGTTATTGCAACATTTCAGCGTATTTATTCGTTACTCTTGCTATAGTGTTACGCTAAAACATCAATCGTTTCGTTTTGCTCTTGATGAAAGAAGTAAGTATAGATAGCTCCTAACTTTGGTATCTAGGCGAATAGCGTCTGCTAACAATTTCCATCACTGATTTCATCAATTCTCGAATCGATATCTGCTCTCTATTTATCTTAAACATTTCCATGGATTTTCGTTAGTTTATAGTATTTTATAAAAGTAGCCTCGAAGTGTTCTGTCGCAACTTTAATCAATTAGCGGATTAAAATCTGTTCCCTACCTCAAACATTTCCACGAGCTATCGTTAATTTCTAAAATTTTTATTAAAGTACTGTATGCACTAAACTATTGACAGATCTTAGGGTTATAGGCAATAAAATTGTTATCTAGAATAACTCTAATATTACTCACATCTTTAAGGAAGATTATTTTTCGTTGAATAGTTTTAACAGGACACTTTTGCCCGCCTAAAGAGGGTTCTTTCCAGCCTAATGAAAGCAAAGTAACCATACGCTCCAGTAGTAATACTTCTACCAATTGCCTATCCGTGACATTTAACGCTTTCTCAATTATTGTAATGCCTTAGTATAGCTTTAAAATTTTAAAAGATGAACTGAATTAGGTGTCGCTAATGATAAGGTAATATTTTGTATAATTAGGGCAATTTTCTTAATTTACTCAATGATTGTAGAGTCAGGAACTAGAATTATCCTCCTTAAAAGTCCGAAAGAGTGTTATAAACTGGTTGTTTAATATAGTTGAAGAAAATAGTGAATCTCTCTTTGCTGGAGATCTCGCTATTTCAGCAAAGCTACTCTCTCGAATCAATTATGAATCGGATGTAATATCTCTTCCTCTCATAACCGTTAGTAACTTTATCATTCATTGATTTAGTCCATTATGGCATTTCAATCTAGGTCATTTTATATGATTGCTTTACAATTCATATTTACGTTACAGAAACTAATTGATATAGGAAGTCGCCTTTTGCATTTACAATATACCAAAGATTGGCATAAGATTCAGCAGGTAATTAGTTTATTACTGACTATGCAAGTGCTAATTTATCCAAAAAATATTAGATTATGATGAGCTACACTGTGCCTAAGAGCGAATGACTCTCTTTTTTTGGCTAGTCTACACTATCTTGTGGAAATGAATATGATAGCGTAGCGGTCATGATAAGCTTGAAAAGATTAGCTGCTAAGTTGAATAATGATTTTAATCAAACTGGTCCTCAACTAATCGATGTTACTTCACAAAATATAGGTAGGATTAAAAATAAAACTGATTTACAATAATTAAGTATGCTACGATCCCAATTATTCAAGATATTTCCCGTTACTGCCACAATTCCAAGAACTGCAAATCCAGACCATCAGGTATAAGGATGTAGAAAAAGACTCTGATCACGATGAAGATGAACACGATGATAAAAAATCTAATATATTAGAAATATCTACTCGTCAAGCTCATAATATAGCTCACATATGGCAACATAATCATGTACAAATAATATTAAATGCAGAAGCTTTACGAGAAAATCATGGTAAGCAAAGCCTGTTGACATCAATCTTTGTTGAATTTAATCTAATAATTTGATCGTGCGATCTACTTTCTATTTGCTATCATTTTTTCAATATGTTGCGTTATACTCCAATTGATATCCTGGATTATGAATAAAATCAACACGTTTGGATATTTACGCATCCTAAATTTGTGATATGGATCACTATCCATAGCCACAAGAATAGTCACGATTTATTTTAATACATTAGATGCAATCATGCCCTTACAATTAATAAATCCAAGGTAAGTTTAGGACTAGATCTCAGATCATTTATGCCAAATAACTGATTTATGGCTAATTTAACTATATAAGAAATCTATAATACAAACGGATTGGCATTAAGGTTAATTTAATAAAAATCTTAAAAGTTCCATTTGATATTTGATCGTTCTAAGAAATTTCTCTCAAGCAAACCCCATTTTAAATTCTGAAGTAATCGCAGCTTTCTTTTCTACATCATTGCAAAGTTACGACGAATTTTCACTGCAATTAATTTTTAAGAATAAATTTGTAAGTAACATTGCTGCTGGATACTTACTATTATAGTAATAGTAAAAGACTACTACTCGGTCATTACAAATATATAATTTGTTGCTGATTGCGTACGATATTTTATAAATACATCAGTGTAAGAGCTATTTACATCATCATTCAGGTTTTGTTGATAGATAAGAATGGAATTAAACATAGTTCTAACGTAAAGTTGATTTGTCATGCCGGTATTTTAGCCAAATTTAACCTTAAATAACTCGAAAATCAGTAATCGATGGTGTGGAACGTGGTTAGCTAATTCTGTTAATGGGTAAGATGTTAGATGAAGCAGCCGATGGTAAATGACAAGTAATTTTTCACTTTTAATTTAATTATCATTTGAATTGAAGGATGAACAATAATTTAGATAGAAGCAATTTAAATTATATTTTACACATATACACAATATAATTCTGAATACTTAGTTAAAAACGCAACCGATACAATACGTTAAGCTTAATTTCATTTTATGGACTGCAGTAGTTACTCTTAAAAGTAGAAATCCTTGCTACTTTGTTTTATATGTGTCTATCCTTTACAAAATTTATAGCTGAAGAATAAGTTTACTTAAATTGAATGTCTTATTCTTGGTACAGAATTACAATTCGTGTTGCTTGTACTTTAATATAAGCAATCATAGTTATATTCTAATATTTAATTTCTGCTTAAACATCAGAATCTTCAAGTTCTTTTATGCTAAGCATTGGCTATGTTAATTTTATATATGCATAAGTAGATGTGGTTTTAGAAACATAAATATCCTATAAGCTAAGGGTTTACTTCGATGACATATATACTAGTACAGCATATAAAATGGTGTTGGACTTGCTGCGCGACATATAACATTATTTTTAGACCTAATTTTAGTAGCAGTGTTGTATCCAGTGATAAATAATGGAATATCTAAGACAATAAGTTGTAATTTGCGACATTTGATTCGTACGCATTGTGGATTCAGAACTGCTCTTTATATCTAACAGGCTATTTCAGGAGTATATGTATTATTTGCATTTTATACGAGTATGTTCGATAATTTAATAATACATTAAATTAGATAATAGCAGCTCATGGATAGCACAGAATGGGAGATCTGTGGATATTTTATGATATAATGAATTTTTCCACTGTATAAACAGTATCAAATTTTAAAATAGCAATATGCTGTACTATAACTTCAAAATTTAGAAATTATACTAATCCTTGTTGATAATAAATGTTTTTATTTTACCTTGCAGTACCTGCGGCTGGTCTGATTCAAATTGCAGTATAGGAAGTCAGTCTAACTCTACCCATACCGTCTGCTTTTGTAAATTTATCAAGGCAGCATCATTTGCTGCTTTTTATCAAGAGAGTAATATGAGCCAGGCAAGTCAGGTAAAAATTTTAATATTTCCTCAAAGTTTGAATAAAAGAAACTAATAATGATACTGCTTATAGGTCCTAGTTGCCTTCTGGACGGCAATATTTTCTTACTTAAGACAGTATTCTTATTTATTACTTTTGCTGCTAGCTGATAATACTAATCCAGCCAATCACGTTAGCAACCTATTTTGGATACAGCTTGTCCATTTCAGGACTCGTTATTACGGCAGGGATCTTTCTTTTCTCCCCAAGGTAGGTTTGTTAGAGTAATTGCTTTCGGTCTTCTTATGGATAACAAAATATCTTATAATTTCGATTGATATTGCAGAATTTCTGTAGAGCTTCTAGTTTTACTTATCAAGAAGTTTTGACTTTTGCAGTTAGATCAGTATTATTCAGAAAATACGATATAGTTTCATGATAAATACGTGTGAATTTGAGCTACTGTATAACTTGATTACATGAACAGAAAAGGTCTTAAATTAAAAGTGATATTGTAAGTCTATTATTGATTAAAAGAATTAAATGATCATGAAGATAATAAATAAAAGTACACCTGTTATTTGAAGATTAATGCGCTAGTTTGTTATAAGAGTATTAGAAAAATAAGGTTAAGTAGATGCTAGCTAGAGAAGGATGTTACCTTACTCAGTACGTAAGGTGCTGATTAGATTAACATTACGAGCCTAATATATTGAAAGTATGCTCAGGCTAATTATCAAACCCAATCTAAATATCAACAATTTTTCTCTTTACCTGCAATGGTTGTAGAATTAGTTTTAGGAAAGTAGAAGTAATAATATACCTGTCATTATATTCGTTAGACGATGATAACATGTTTATCTAGTAAATTCGATACTAATGAGATCAACATTAGAGATCTTATTCGATATTAATTAGATATATACTCTATTGAATGGGGATGAGATGATGACTATTAATTGGTTAAATGAACACTAGGAGACCAAAATTAACCAAGAAAAGTTGCATAATTAAGTTAAATGTAATTTTTGGCACTTTGGTTGTCAACGTATTAGCAATTATGCACCCTTTTGCAAATGAGAACAAAGTAAGTAGGTAATCATAAATTGCTGATCGTGACAAAATCTATAAATTTAAATAGAGGAAACAAGTGCTATATAATGATTAATTATTCTCACTGACTCATCTTAAACTTTAGACAATGTGCATCCTTATGGCAGTAGGATTACACTATAGCCTGATAATGCTGTTTATTTGGATTTTCCACGATAGCCTGGATTTATTTCTAAAATTATTTAAAGATTTGGAATCGATAATCCAATGCAGTTGGTATTTTATTTCAGCTTATAGTAAGTTACCTTTAATTAATGTTAAAATATTTAACCCATACGCCCGAAAACTTCCTGACAAGTTTCCTAGTCTAACGTAAAGCACTAACTTCGAGTTGCTTCTACAGATTACTATCCTAATCTATCGAAAGATCTAGTAATAATATAGTACTGCTACTATAAGGCCTAGGAACTACTCTTCTAAAAGGCTCAAAATTAGAATTACACGCTGTATTATAATCTATAAAACATGTAAAATTAAACACTGTAAGCAACAATACTTTCTTAAACTCTATAATTTAGGCAACCTAGTGCTGTAACACCTTAATATAATTCATGATGATTGCATACTGTAATACAATATACAGTAGAATCACTAAACATGAAATATTAGCGGGTTTATTAGCGGCCTAATTGATTTTCGAGCTTCTATTATCCAAATTTAACAATATCTCATGTATTTCATAAATTTGGGATTGATTTGAAATATATGAAGCTGCTACAAGTTGTTTTTCCTTGTCAATGCTTTTAGTGTTTCCACTATTTATCGTGGGATTTACGTTTAGCATCACGAGCGCGATATTCGGTGTGGATAATTATGTCAATTTTGAATCGTAAGTTTATTTCATAATAAAAATAATCGTTCCAGTAGAGCATAGACTAAAATATGATGAGAGCGATAGTGAAGGTGTATAAATTGACTAAGAATATTGAATAAATAGTTACTAACTGACCTTTAACATTAATGATTTGCCAAGGTGTTGGCTAACTACAGATCCTCCTATGTATTTAGCTTTTATCGTTCCGATATCATTCCTGATATTGGTAAAACTAGTTTAATTTTTCATATCAGATAATTATAATGAAGGCTTATTTATATCTGTAAAATATTCAGTCAAGTCAAATTTATATTTCTGAATTTCATAATTATCATTTCATCATTTCTGATTGCCGTCTAGGTTAAATTGATCCTGTGCACCTTAACATTGCGAATTAAACCAAGCATTAAGGATGGAGAATCAAGTTTTAATGATACCTATTTCCCTTTGGAATCAATGTTAGTAATTAACGCTTTAATATCAGCATAGATAAACTTTGTAGTAGGCATTTACATCAAGTAATCTACAAGACTATGAGTGACCTTGAATCTACAGTATAACAAAATAGCTTGAAAGCAAATTTTTTACTAGAATAAGACATGAAAAATGAGGATATTATCATACGGTAACAATATGATTTTGGACGAGACCAGTTAAAAAGGTCTACTTACTTATTTCACTTCATAATCTCAGAAAGAGATCGGCTCGAATGTCTGTAATTTTTTTAGCGGTGGCAACTATGTGCTGGATTTCTTTTACGATTGGAATATGGACCAATTCTATGATATTCCGCAGTAGCTTTGCTATATTAAATGGAGTACAGGTAAGAAAAATTATAAAATAAGTATAACTTACTGGGATAGAAACAACAGTACTTATATTAAACTAATCTTCGTAGCATTCTACAGATAAGTAATTGCAATTTCTTATCGTAAATGGGATATCTAGTTTAGTTATGATTGCATATATTTAGCAATTATAACCGTCATTGAAATCATAGTAAAATTCGGTTCGTGTTTTAGGGAATTTGTTTGCTTTATATCTACTGTTTTCAGCTTGATCACGTAAGTACATTATTGGATTACTCAAAGTGCTGCAAACTTCAATTCTTAGGACTTGCCATACCTTACAGTCAATAGAATACTATCAGAGAAATATTTTCCATAGTAGTAAAAAAATTTTGTAATTTATACATCTTTTTGTTCCAGAAATGTCGATGGATTCGAGATAGAAGTACTGATACCTCATGTGAAGAATATGGACATACTCTCGAATTGACTCGGTAATATTATAAATTAATTAAAAAATGGTAGAGCAATTCAGGTGTATATAATAGGCAATATACAAAAATAAGATTCTTTGGCGATTAATGATGCTACAGTACTAGTTTAATATGGTGCTAAGATTAAACTAGTACTGCAACATGATTAATTACAATTTGATTTGTCATTAAAACATGCATAGGTACAACCAGCGACTATATGAGATCTTTATCGAACTGTAACAAGCAAATCTAGCTCTATGTTCTCGGCTCTGTAAAACTAGTTATAAAATTTTCTTCCTTAGACAATGCTTCCTGTAAAAATATTCAGTTATAATTAAATGTTTGATAATGCTAGATCATCTGAATAATTTACATCATCTAAGTAAAAAAACTTTTTAGTTTTTGACGCCAGCTATTTCTAATTTATGTGTGATATAACTTACGAATACGTGCTATAAAGTTATAAAAACAGCTAGACTGTAGACTACTATACATTGCATCATTGATTTCAAATAGCAAAAGCGTAATTAAAATTTAAAACTGACTTGTTATAACTCTATTGGACAACTATTATAGTTCTAAACTTTTACTTCTTTCCTTTTCTTACGAATAGTCGATCTGTTATCAATGTGGCACCTTACTTTGATGAATCAACCTGAAATGGCAATAAAACAAAAGGAATTTTGGGAATCGTATAGCAAACGAATCTTCAAAATATTGTCAATCTCACTTACAAGTATTATATAATTAGATTTAGATCATCTTATGCTAATATTTTAAATTTATTGAAAAGTTGCCTCTTTCATCTTTATTGACACTAATATTTACAAATTTGAGCTATTGCCTCTCAAAATGGATCATTAAGCCTACCTAATACTTACATTATTAATAGTATTCGTGTTGATATGCTTAATAGCACGACTTGGATCTTAATAAGGTAGATGATGAGCTTATACTGTAGCTTGCGTTAATACGCAATAGTACGGTTATGATTTGTACCTTGATTTATACGATAGTTTCACGAGTCTACAATACTGTTGCATGTCAGTAATATATGTAGACGGTACATTGTACAGCTACAAAAAGGTAACAACAGCTGTAATAACACTTAACCCATTTTATTGCCAAATTAGTAACAAAGTCAACATATTGGTTATTTCATTCATGAGATGATAACTATCGTACGCGTATACTATAATTTCATTCTATCGTAAAAATAATAACAAAACCAGTTAATAAAATCTAAGAGCGGACCAGTAATACATAATGTGACCTAGATATTCAGTTATTCAATCACTGCAAAAGTTACATGTTATTGGTTAATTTCGTATTGAACAATTCTCATGCGGTTAAAGCTATAGTAAATAGCAAAGGTAATATACTATCGTAAATAGCTTGGATAAATCTTCTGAAACCAACCGAGTAAATTGACGAATATTCGTAGAAAAGTTGCTAAAAATCATGATGGAAGTCACGCACAACATTCTATCATAGCTTATATATGATTAAAGCTAGACTAATCAAATAAAGCAACGTTGGCGCTATTTGCTTTACGCGAAAGTATCTAAATCTATTTACCAAAAACCAATCAGCACAAGCGTAGAAGTACAATATATATAATTCATTAAATTTTTTTCAACATTTAGTAACAGTAACACCACTAGAAACGTTATAATATGAAAGCATGGGATAAGTAATTATTATGATTATCGGATACGATATAAGGAGCGGCATAGTATAAGTTATTAAACCTCCAATTTTAAATCTTAAAACGCAAAGTTTTGTATAAACTTGTACACTCATACGTGTCATTTATCTGTATGCTAACAAAAAATTTAACAAATGCATAGAACTCGTTCGACTAAATCAGAAAAAATGCGAGTTACGGCATAAGCAAACACCCCTACATGTACTAGCTACGATTACATTATTTCATTTTAAGCATTGGAATTATTTCTAACAAGTTTATCGTCTTCAAGTGCTTGCTTGGCTAAATATTCTTCACGCTTAATAGTTAATCGTAACGACTTTGGTATATCCGGAATAGCGTAGCCAATGGCGAATTTGATAAAGAAAATCAAATGCTGTAATTTAAATAATTTAAAACGATTAATTAACGTTCACGATATATGAATTAAAATTTTCACGATTTCATAATGATATATTGATTTCAAGATCTCTACCATTGGCCATTTTTAAGGCCATATTAATAAGGACGTAAGGTATATATCCACATTGTCAATAGCGACAGCCATATGTAACATAGTCATAAATATTTGTTTATTCATAATAGGTGCTTACCTCGAACACGACAACAAATGCAAGTCTTACTGTCATAATGCGCCAATAGTTCAGATTGTAACTATATGGATATTCAGTCTGTCGATATCCAGAATACCTTTATTAATTACAATAATATAATAATAATGTTAGAATCGCAATTTTTCCTATTTTGATTCCGTGGAGTTGAAATTATGTTCGATGGTGTACAAACGAATTTTTTAACTAACCTACAAAACGTTGAGGTGTAGCTTAGCTGCCCAGACAAATTTGCTTTCGGAATCTCGCTGCTAGGGAAATCAGTGACGTTGAAGTAAGATAGTGAAAAGTTTACATAACCATCCAGAGTTCCAGACTGACTGACATTACCATATTCGTAAACCATTCTTGGGATAAAGTCAGAAGTGACTGCAATAACAAAGGCCTAAAAGGACGCAAAGTTGATTCTTGATTAACAGCACCAATCAAGTCTAGTCAACTTAGATTTATTTCTATAAATTAAATTGAAATACACTAATATGGTGTTATATACTATTTAAAAGAATGCATACATTTGTTATAACGGCCATTTTGCTAATAGAGTCCAATATACCATACCAAGCACCTACAATGAAAATATATTAGATTTTTTACTATAACATTGAATATTAATTATGGAAGAGCTACAAATACCAATATTGGGAGCTTGAGCTGCAAGGGGTCGCTGCAACTGAGTTATAAATTTATAGGCATCCAAACGGATCTCAATAACATTATTTAATAAGGCGAAGAAAGGTGCCAAAGGAAACGCAGCCACGAATAATGTTATAAAACCAAACTGGATAACTAATTTAAATAAATGACAGAATCTAGGTTAACCTATTACCGGATCGATGGCGTTATTAACCATAATTTATACTTGTCTACTTACCCATTTCAAGATATTCAAAGAATAGTCCCTGTTGGCCTAATTCCTGCAGGTCCTCGTCTTCCTCCATCAATGGAATATCTTTTTCACTACCATCATCTTCTTTGTCAATGTTGCGGCGTGCAATCCAATTTTTTATTTTACTTTTATACCCATCGAAATTTAGAGAAATTAAACGCATAATACTCATAGCTTGTAAAAGAATAAAGCAATGCCCTAAATAGATACATACGGTAAAATAAATTCCAAAATGTTATTCCAAGCTTGCTTGCCAACCATGATAATCGCGAGTTGAATACATAATTCAACCAAGCATCCGCCGCTAGAGCACTAAACATGTAAACATGTAGCATGCAAAAGTGATTATACTATATATTTTATCGTCTCGTACAGTATAGTATATTATTTCTTATTGAAATAAAGCTCAAAAACATAGATTTGCTTACTTGTTGTTGGCGTAAACCTAAAAGACTTCTATTATAATTATTCGGACTACCAGAAAATCTAGTGTTATAAAAAAATAATTAATTGATGATATGTAGCTCTCTAAATCTTCTAAACACTTTAAAAGGAATATAAAAATATCGTACTTACGTGCCCTTAAAGAAAGCGATATAGAAAAGCGATGAATAGTAGTTGACAAATTGGAATAAAAACATCTTAACGGTAAAGGCTCGATCATATTCTGATTGTGTTCTGTACCTTTCTATAGTACGATATAAAAATATTTAATAATACTCATATGACAACATAAAGACAACATGATAAGCTGGACTACTCACCCCAATCCGTTAACTTGTAGGCTAAAATTTTATATACCTAACATATAGAAAAATAGTCATGAGAAAACTAAAACGAGCTAGTTATAAAATATGTTTGCACATGCACTTGACATTTAGAACAATGAAGTATCAGATAAATTCAATCCAATTGGCACTTACAACTCCCAGTAACATGATCACAACAAGATTAATAGCAGCAGCTGTGATAGATGTAAAGATGGAAGCTGCTTGGCTAATCAGGGCAATATTTGTTCGTAAAAGCAAGTACGTAATACCCAATCGGTAGATGATAACAGCAAAAACGGCAGCAATTACTAAGCAAATCTAATTGAAATTAAAGTTCTTGTTACTAGGCCATAACATCAACGGTACGAACGGAATTAGTTATGATCTATTAATTATTCTAATTTCGTATGAATTATAACGAATGTAAAGAATGAATCGAAAAATATCAGTTGTATATAAAGTGCTTACCATAAAGACAATAGAAATATCGCCAAGGAAATATCGAGGAAGTCTCTTAGTTGGAGTAAAGTATGGTTCTTCGTGCTATTACAAAAGAATAGAGTAACCAAGATACGCTATTATATACCGTCTTAATATTTCTTCTAAGCTAAGGCTATAGTAGTTGTATCTAAAGCTTACTCCAGTAACCGGATTAACACGATATGAGCCTTCTTCGGCGCATTTTGCTTCATATTGAGCTCGTAATGGTTCCTGATAACACAAAGTAAAATGAACTAGTTACCCTTGCTAGCTCTTATTCTGAACACATAATACAACGAAAAAACGTACTTCTTCGGCTTCATAATCGAGAAGATCCCATTCAAAGGCAATTCTGGCTTGCCTTCTTTTCCAAAATTCCAAAAATAGTGTAGCTATAAAAAAATAACGTATAGCAATTTCAGTATCAACTATCCAGTAATCAATCTCGGCAAATAACGAAATAAAAGTAACTGCTGTATAGTCGCGATTAACTCATTTGTCCTAATTGGTAATTGTTGTTAACCAGTAAATTTCAGTACTAAGTACTTTTGAATCTTACATACCCCATAAAGACATGAATACAGCAAAGAAAACCGTGAAACCATTATCGAATAAGTGTTGGGCCTATATTCAATATATTCAATATACTTTACATAGGTAAAAGGGCATACAACGTAATATTTAATCTAAGTGCGTTTCTTTACGTAGTTCGCTGTCGTAGAAAGAAACAATTTTGTTATATTAAATTACATGCCTTAGCATAATTGCAAGTTGTTCTCAATTCCCAGTAAGGACATAGTTCATCACATAGTGGACACATGTAAAACTGCTTGCGAAGGTTATAACTGCAAATCTCGGAGCTGTTTAGTATACATATAGTTTTAATTTGAGGGCCAACATTACCTGATTTACATTTTGTGGTTAATCTATTTATTCTCATATGAGTTTGAAACTTACGAGACTTTGTCACTTCCCATAGTAAATAAACCATAAAGGAAACATAAAACTCCAAGGATTGAGGCAGGTATAAGCATTCCGGTGTAGAATCCTGATGAAGGAGATATATTATCGCTTAATATCATTTATAATTTTCAAAATCTACTCGCATCTAACCTAGCCATGCGAAATAAATTCCAATCTTTTCACCAAAGTATTTTCTGTTGTAACATTAGGAAGGCATTTACATGTTGAGTATTGATGTAAAGATTAGTATCCGCATATGTTAACTTACATAAAGATCAAATAATCCTAATATGGAATACCCTTTTATCGTTCACCTGACTAAATCGAGAGGTTGAAATTTATACCATCTTCCCGGTCGTGCCCATTCTTGTCGAAGAAGTTGTCGATCGTTTTCTGGTGCATGAGTGAGGAGAGATTCGCCAAATTCCGAAGGCCCCTATTATAAATAAAGTTAAACTTTCGGATTAAAATCTTTGATAGTTTCTAGGGGATAAAGATCGAGAGGTAGAAAAAAGCTTAAATTGTAGTGTAAAAATTTTTTACATCATGAAGAGGAAATGATTTCTCAAAAGCACCCTTGGATATCAAGCGATAAGCTCCTATTGTAATAATTATAATTATGAAGGTATAAAAAACTTCAAAGAAGGTACTACGCATATCAGTGATATTGAACTAATTGATTATAAATACTTAAAGAACGCTAGGCAAAGTCATCAATGCTTTAAAAATTATTTACTCACCAAATTTTGTCCTGTCATTTTCTTTATAATCAACGCGTTTGAGGATATAGTCAACCTGTCAGATTCAGTAAAATTACTCCATTACAATTATAACAATAAAGTGTAGGCATTATAATATAGTCTAGCCATAACTTTTGGTTATAGCTTAAACATAGCAGGTAAAGACTAACCACAGCGCTTCTCTGAGCTGAGGTGAAAAAGGTATCGCGATCTTCGATGAGAAACCTAACGCATTGTTACATAGTCATACGTTCTAGGAAGGTTACATAACTCATCTACCTATGTGATTTTTCTACCATTATTACTGACTTACTTGTTGATTGCAGAATTTTTAAACGCACAGGTATAGTGAGGATTATAGTCCTTTTCAAGGTAAGGACTATCCAATTCAAATGGACTAGGGCACGTTTGGCAAGTTGGTTCAGGCTCGATGAATTCATGGTCATTATTTAATGCACTCTGTTAATAGCATAGAATAGATAACTTTTCTAAAACAGATCAAAGGCTGTTAATGTAGATGATTGTTGAATTGAGACACACTATCTGTTGTATTCTTTACCCAGGAAAATCTGACACTTAGTTGTACAGTATATTATTATTACAAAATATGGCAAAAATGAAACTGCAAATACCCCTTGATAGAGTTTGGTATTCGAATAGAAAAATGAGCAACTTGATTGACTAAAGATTAAAAGTTGTTACAATTTACGCTAAGTTAAGGAGATGTAACCTCTTTGATAGGCATATTAAATCTCATGATTTCAGCGTACTCCAAGAGGGTTGTCCAAGGTGCATGAATTTTGATATAGTTCGTGACTTTATCAACTGAAGCCTGCCATTAGTAAAGATTTAAAAATACCTTATTACTCAATCGATTTCATTGAGCCCTTTTACATGATTTTCCAAAACATTTCTTTTGGTATAAATCATATTTGCAACATACTATCTAAAAACGAATATCTGTATTTATGACAATCATATGCTTACCTCAGAAGATTGTTCTTCTAACTGCACTTTAGCAAGATCGCGCAACGAGTCCAAAAATGCTTTGCGTCTCTCTGAGTTTTTATGCTCCTTTTCTGCATCGCTTGAGATTTTGTACGTTAAAACCCAATCTGTTGAAATACGGGATATTCAATTATAGTGCATTGTACTCAATAACATGAAGCTATATTATGATCGTTCTAGAAATCTTTTTCGATTTATCCAATTTTAATAGCGTGTTCTATCGAAACCTAATATAGCGATTTAATATGGCTAAAATTACAGTCATACGCAGACGAATTATTCTGGATGGTATGATAAATATTGTCACTTCAGATCTGCATCATAACGATAAGGAAGACTTTACCCACAATAACATTATGCGATAAGGCTTATACAATCTACAACTATCTGGGTATGTACTGTACTACTTCAATCGACGAAGCAGAACCTAATGCAAGCGTTCAATTCTAAGTAAACTGGTGTACAATTAGCATTTTTTTAGACAAGTTCTATCAGCAATACTGTGTAGATAGTGGATTTATTTAGTACTATTTCGTATTCTATGAAATTGTTAATTTCTAATAGCCATTCAATGGATGGATCATTTACTAACCTATTCTTCTTTCGCCGTCGTTAAAATAGACAGAATTGCTTTTCTTTTCCTATGCAATTCAAGAATGAGCATTAAAAGAAAGAAGAAGAATGAATAATCATGCGGTTGTGATGATTTTGTGGTGTATTTATTATACTATACTCGTACTTTATTATTGTTTGAACCGAATAAGTGCAGATGTGTTGTTTAGGAATGATAAACTGAAATGTGCTATTTACTGATTACGAATAAATGTTGTCCTAACTTTGATCAATTTACAAGTTCTACAGTCGATGTAAAGGAAATAACAACATGTTATCCAAATAATGCCAATAGTAAGGCAAATAATACAAAGCACTATTATTCGGTAATTATATGCGCGTATGACTGGTATGGAGCCATACTAAATGATAATTAATTATCATGATAGTAGAAAAGATTCTATGTAAATTACAGTCCAACAGACACCGGCTAGGGCTTCATACCAGGATTAAAAAGCTGTTAAGGATTAGCAGGAAAACGTTAAATTAAAACATAACAGTCTCGTCTAGTCGTTTCATCCATTTCTACCGTATTTTAACCTGTACTAAGGTTGTTTCTCACAGGAGAGAAATCGATACAACTATCCTATGTTGAATGATAACGAGAACAGAAAAACCATAACTGGTGACGTTACAGTGGAAACCCTCGAGAGTCTCTCGAAGGTCTGTAGTGTGTTGTACCCTACTGTCAATAAATTTTGCATTTGCCGTTCGAATTTTCTAGTTATCGCTTCGTCGTAAGTGCAATTTCCACAGAATTACTGAGCCTTCAACGAATCGTTTTCCTTTTATTTCATTGAACATCACTAAAAAAAGTTCTCAAACATACGTACGACTAGTCACTAAGATATCAAAAGTATAGTAGCTGCCATCGACTACTTCAATCGCTTGTTGTCAACGGTATCCACCTGCACATTATCTAGTCTACGGGTATTCGAGATACAATATTTAGACTGGTACCAACAAGCCAGATAACATTGGTATCTAAGCGTTCGATGGCGATACTGTAGGGCGTCAAAAATCTTCCAATTCATTACTTGAAAATGTAATATTTCCTGATTTATAGGACCTTTAAGTATTGGTTTTACTTTTCTATTTTTTTCCTTGGTTAGCCAATGTTGTATAACATGGGCTTCAATTCACTACAACATGACAGGAAAAAGATGACATGCTCTACTCAACAGTGACACCAGAAACGTTTGTAGAGAGATCGTTTATGCTTTGAACTGAATGTCAAACGATTTGACTTAATAATAATAAATATTATAATAATAATTATTATTATAATGAAGTCGTTGTTCAATAGTCGGGCGTGCCCGAATCACGATCACCACTGTCGATGACCGCGAGTAGCGTTGGTTCGCCTATACTGAAGTCTTTGCGGCCAAAGTCAATTTGTTACTCTAGTCTTTCCGTGTAACGGCTACTGGGAGTGGTTAGTCTGTGCGTCGATAATTTATTGATCAGTCTAACCTTGGTGTGTCACTTTAACGCCATTTTAACTTGGAAAAGAAATGGTAGATATAATAATTATTAATGCCTACTACGTCAATTTTAATAAGGAAAAGTTGCCATTACTGTAACGCTCTTCATGTTTATAATCTTTCTTCACGGGTAGGCATTAGATCGAGCTAGGAGAGTTACTTATTAGTTCAAAGATGAGCGTAAAGTAGTAACATTGTTTATGACAATATTCGCCTTCATCGCAACCGTTTCAAGAGCTGTGCAAAGTACAGTAGATGCTGTATGTAGGGCGTTTTACCTCATCACTGTCGGTAACATCTTATCAAGTTATCGATTCTAAGTGTGCAATAGTAATTTTTCGCTACACCGACCAAAAGTATTCAAATTGTACGATACTGTAGTGTATAATGTCGTAGAAGCAAACTGGATTACCTATACAGTATATATAAATTACATAGCATACTTGTCGATAGCATATCGATGCGACATGGGTGTTCGTCAATGACCAAGCGCAATTTTTAGAAAACAAATAAAAGAATCATTTTGTTTTTACCTTTGTATGAACTCCACTTGCACTAGCAATATCTCGATCCCTTCGCTTTCCTTCACCACCAGGACTTTGAGATCTTCCCGATTCTTTATGAAGTGATTCCATGCTAACTGCTTCTACAGGCCTTGGATGCTCGCTCGATTTGAATCCAATCGGCGGATTCTTATCAGCAGAATGTGGTGATCTAACATCACTAAATCCCAAGGGACGAGAACTTCCAGAGTTTTTAAAGCCGATTTGGGGTGGCTCTTGTTGGTAGGACATCTTTGATAGCAAAGGCTGTCTGATCGTCTATTATGCGCGATACGATTGTAGAAAGAGATTCACTGTTCACAGTTTTCAAAGTTATAGCTAATAGCCTTCTGTTCATTGACAGTTAATACAGGTTAGATGAGAAACAAGTATAAGTGACAACTGTAGCGCTGTTGCCTGGAGAGGGTACTGTAAGTAGGTACAGATGTGACTCGATGTGACTGACAACTGGGTTTACAGAGCCTATACTGCTGACTGGAGAATAATGCTCTACAGTACTACAGCGCTAGTTAGGTAACAAGTAAAAGACTGGAAGTAGTAGTTACACATACTGTACACTGTACAGTAAGCATGCACAAATAAAGCGAGTGACTTATTGTATGTATCAGCGACTAATTGCCCATGCGCATTTAAACGCAACTTGTGGAAGATCCACAGTATGGCAGGCATCGTACAGTACAGTACTTACGGTAGATTACAGTAAAATGACGGATTCGTGTCAATGAACTCGTCTATACTATCGTTTGATATGCAATTTGTTCAAGTTCTGTACGTTTTTTTTATTTTGTTGTAGTTCAAATCAGGAAGGATTTTCTCGGACACTTTGTAGAATGACTGGATAAATAGTCAGTTTCATCATTCTTGTACTGAACCTTGAACTACTACTCTACTAGAAGAAGACCTGGACTGATCGCTCCCTCGAACAAATCAGGCTGTAAATGTTCCAAAATGACTACTTATTATGGATCTTCCCTGTTAGCTTTCTAAATTACCGGTACTAATTGAAATGATATCTATGATCTTATATAACTGTTTTCAAGCAGAACTTTGTAACAAATAAAAAGATCAAAAGATTCAAAGCAATATTACTTCTTTGAGAAAATATCCGCTCAGTTCAAAATCGACCGACTTGTTACTAAAGTAGTGCAAAAACAAAGTGTTTGCCACACTACTTTGACGTGATGAGTCCGAAAATGTCTGTCCGTCCAAGTGTGATAGTAGTCCATGACTGAACCAGGGACTACGCTACTTTAGTCGCTCAGTACTACAGTACTGTACACTGTACTGTACAGTACTGGATACTAAAAGGAAAGAAAGAGGGACGTACAGTACAGTACAGTACAGTAAAGCGGCCCTCAATGCAAAATAAACGTGGAGGCCTATCATTTTCCGGTCATTACTGTACTACAGCATACGGTACCTATGAAACCGTATATCATACTGTACACTGAGTGTATACTGTAGGATGTCCAGTACTGTACAGTACAGTAGTAAGTAGTCTTAGAAGTAGCCGTACTGTACAGTACAGTACAGTACAGTACAGTACGTACAGTACAGTGTACCAGAGAACGGTACCGTCTGTACTGTACATTGTACTACTGCTAGATCAGAAGCATGTAGATCACATGACATATGCGCATGGATCACATGACACATGCGCATTTTTCTTGGTGCTACAGTATTGTACTGTACAGTACTGTACAAAAAAACAACCTACCGTACAGTACTGTACAGTACAGTACTTTGCAATATTAACCAACAAGTGACAGGTACCAAGTTAATAAGCCTGTGCAAGTTTCTTTGCGGATGCCTTCAAGGTAAGCTAAAATGTTGCTACTGTCTCCAATTTTCATGCATACTTTCAGTCAATTTCTAGTTCTCTTCGTTCATTACAAGCAACGTTGCCAAATCCCATTCATTTTTATACAATCTGTTTCATAAGACAAAAATATCTTACTTGTATAGCGTCGATAGATTTTAATGAACTCACTAGCTCGATATAAACTTCGCCGCTATCTGCAGGATATTGACTATTGTTGAGCACTGAATTCCATCATGACGTAATTTAGCCAATCAAGAGAATGATTTAATTTTATTCACTCTATTTTGCATGCTTAGGATTCGTTAATTTAACCCTAGTAGTTTGTATATACTGTTAATTATAGAATATTGATCCTTTCTATTTGATAGACAGGAGTTTATGAAGAATTGATTTTTGGTGTTATTTTTTGTATATACAGTACATTCAACACATACTCTACCACTACAGCATACAGTCGAGTACATGCTCCAATTGCTTTATCCTACTACATTGCTGGTTGAAAAGCCAGCCTAAAAATAAAATTATATTATACTAAGATAGATATTGACAGTAAAAAGATTAGCAGGTGTACAGTATTACAATCTGTCAATTCGTAATCTCCTAATTGAATGGTGATACCGTTAAGGTGTTATTAATTAGCTACGCATGCAGATATTTTACAATTAATTATCCTTGCATTGTATTACAATATATATAATTAATTTGAAACATATATCTGTTGATAATTAATTACTGCAGTGCTATCATTTTGTTTGTTACTTAGCTAGTGACTTGAATATCGTTAGTGATCTAAATGACCGATTCGTCACCACATTCAAAGTTGGATTCACCAGAAGTATCTGCAATAGAAGAAATGTCTCAAGAAATGAACGTCATAGTACCGCCTACTGAAATAGCTAAAGGAATCGGTGTCGCCACAACCGCATTTTTTATTGTAGCAGAAATGGCTGGAAGTGGTGTGCTAGCTTTACCCAAGGCTGTTGTGGAAAGTGGCTATACTGGTATCGGATTAATTGTTGTAGCTTCTATCATGTCTGCTTACACCGGCAAGATTTTAGGTAAATGACATAATAATATTTTAGGTTAAAATCAACCACAAACTTCGCTAATTCAATGGTAGAGAAATATACGCGTACAATGGCTAGAATGTAGCAGAAGCACCACAGTGATAGTAGCACTATTAACATCATCCATTTCCTGCATTAGCTAGCAAATTTTCATCAGTTGCTGGTGTTATGTATTTTGTGATAGACACACACTGTGAGTAAAAAATTTACTCTTTCTTATAAAAATGATGTTTATAATTTCACGTACAGTATGCACTTAGTATGCAGAACTTTATTTTACGCTATCGTATATACGCATACTTCATAATTGCTAACTATCTATTGTAACCTGGTTTGCTCCTACGGAGTGTGACTAGTTACAGCACTGTAAGTTGGAAAGTCTGCCGTTCGTTAAAATATTAAGCTACTGTATCACTAGTGCTACCGTTGCAAAATAAATGTCGCTATATTTAACAGCATACTTGACGATGTTAGAGTATGCAATATAATCATTTATTGTCATTGATGTTTGTATGTTATTTGGTAGGTGATTGCTGGAATATTTTATTAGATAAACTACCTCAATATCGAGAACATAATCGTTATCCTTATCCGTCGATTGGATACGAAGCAATTGGACCTGCTGGCAGATATCTAGTATCAATATGTGTTAATTTAACACTTTTTGGAGTTGGTGTTGTTTTCTTAATCTTAGCGTCAAATAATCTGATATCTCTAATTGATACGCACAATATCAGTTACGCTGGCTGGCTAGCTATTTGCGCAGCATTTGTGACACCTTTAATGTGGTTTGGAACCCCAAAGGATTTTTGGTTTATTGGAATATTATCCGCAGCATGTACTATCACTGCTGTTATTCTTATCTTTATCAATTTAATGCTAATCGCACCTGCACCACAAGACTTGGCTAGTGTCCCTCAAGCGCCAGTTACGTTTACATCCTTTTTCTTCGCCTTTGGTGCTATTTTATTCGCCTACGGAGGTCATGCGGCTTTTCCAACTGTTCAACATGACATGAGAGAACCATCTAAATTTAAACAATCAATTCTCATTTCCTATACCACGGTCAATTGTCTATACCTCCCTATTGCTATAGCTGGATTTTTAATTTTTGGGAGAAATGCTGAAACTGCCGATATCTTGCTAACCTTGAAGAAATCTGGTCGGGGAGGTGCTATACTTGCTATCGCTGAGGTTTTAATTACTTTACACGCTCTTTTTGGCTTTATTATTGTCCAAAATCCATTAGCTCAAGAAATCGAAAATATTTTTAAAGTACCCAATAGTAAGTATAATTGAATGTGAATTATTTATGCTTAATTACTATATCAATCTTTTTTGGTTTAAGCGTTATTGTTCACTTTAGTAGCTATTAAAAAAAATGTTATCGTGATTGATTTTGACGTACTCGATTAGATACTGTAACCCTAAATCTTATAAGCCATGTGATTTTATGTACCGTATATGTAGTAAACCCGCAATTGTATTCTATGAAATGAAATGGCATTAGCTATCAGATGTGTTGCATGCAATTGCAGAACAATTAATCATTCATTCAACATAAACTTTATCGCGTATAAATTTTATTCATAGAATTTTGCTGGCAGCGTGTTGTACTTCGTACTATTCAAGTTGGTGCTGTGCTTGGTCTAGCTGAAGCTGTGCCTAAATTTGGAGCAGTACTATCATTAATTGGTGGCTCAACTGTTACCGCTTTAACCTTCATCTTTCCATCTTTGTTTTACCTTATCTTAAAGAAAAAATTAGCTCGTAAGCCGATTTCCTTAGTTGAATATACCATCAATATAGAATTGATTGCAATAGGATTTTTGGGGGGTATTGCATCCACCTATTCCGCCATTATTGGAATTGGAAAAGCTTTTGCACCAAAATAGATTATAATTTAATATTTTTCCTTTAACAATTTTTACTGAATTGTGGTCTTGAGATTTCAAAAAATTCGCTCACACTCAATTTATACAGCTCTGTTAAAATTATCTCTTATCTACTTAGTTTGATAGCATGGAACAATCAAGCTTCGACGTTTCTTCTTAGTAAAACTTACATGAATGCGTGATTTTTTATCGTATTTATGATTTCAGTCAACTATTGTGATATACAATTGTACATGTAGATTATTGGTACGAATTGATAGGTTATATTCATTTATTATAATAGCTTCACAAAGACAGTAATGGATGCTAATTGACACATTTTTAAGTATCGAAAGGACTTCGTCGCTCGTCAGCACCTTATTATTTACGCTGTTGATTTCTTATTGCTTTTATAAGTATTTTTTAATCATGGCTGCTAATGAAACGATGTAGTGAACTTTGCGTGAACGTAGGATATCTTGAAAAGATAATTAATTTTTATAAAAAGTCATTTAATTAGATAATAATACAGTATTATTTCGAGTATAAAATTTAACCAGATTTTTATCGAATCCTTTGATCACTATAGGATAAACGAGAGTCGAAGCTTGATATTTCTAGAATGTACCTTGATTAGCTTATTAGATCCCCATAATGTCAGATAGACATATTCGTGTCCTTTTTCTGCTAGAGTTCTCTTATACTGCACTTCATTTGCACTTTATCAAAATTTGAACTGGCGAATGAGTATATATTTTTTTATCTTGATTTTAAGAAGTTCATTTGCTGATAGGGCATATTATTCATTTTAAATGTTATAGTAAGACGATATTTTTCTTCAACGACTATTTCAGCTGAATAACTATGCTAAAGTTGGTAAGAAGTAAATAGTGACTTCATAGACCAATTTATTATTGCTAAATAAGATTAAAAGATATTTAAACTATCGATTTATTGATATATATATATTAGTCTTTGGTCTTAGTAGTACTTCGACGATATGACCCTGCTGTATTGTTCATTTATGGAGTGAATTTTTTTATATTAAATTTAATACCATTTACGAAACTGGTACAGTCCAATCGTGGTGCATATCTTAGCGAAGCCGTCATCATTTCCATCATTACACCAAGGACGTGATAATTGATGAACGAATGAAAATATGTATGACCTGTTGTTACCAGACTGTTGTTAATCAATTATATCTATTTATTATCAATTGAAAGGTCACTTGAATTTAGAAGGGAGTAAACAAATGATAAAATGCGAGATATTAGCATTATGTAATTCTTTCTATAAGATTGGATTATATAAGCTAGAGAAGTATCAAGGATTAATTTAGAAAGCTTTTACCAACTGTAATGGCTTTATTGTAATTATTAGAAGCGTAACCTTGAACTATCAGACCACAAGTGATGATGTCATTTTATTGAATCTTATCGCATTATAAATCCGAAGTAAAAACCTCTATAGATGACATTAATGTTTATTCGGATAGCGAGAAGGTTGCTGACAAATTAGGTTCTATTAATATCGCGTAAGGTCGTAATCGGATATAAAGCATCTGTTGCTCTATTGAGAGAGTCCTCCAAAAGTTAATCAGACTCATTCATAATTTGTGATGTTACCATGTTACCAATTTTAAATTGAAGTAGTAAGTGGGGTGATCTGTCTATAAAATTAATTGGAACTAACTATTACTCTTCTTGGATGCTTATTAGTGGATTTAAATCTTTCGACTTCTTGTGAATTAAGAATGTAATAAAGTAAAACATCTATAAGGTATAGAATGAATTTAAAAAATCGTGATAAAGTTCAATTCTGAAAGCAAGGTAGCTAGCAAATGCAATAAACAACTAACGTAAAATAAGATCCTTCAAATTTTAAATTCGAAACAGAAAGTGAATGAACTGATTTCTCATTCAAGGGTCTACTAATATAACGCAATTGCTGTCGCCTTAGTTAAATTGAAATTATGGTTTCATTTCTTACCAGTTACATATTCCTTAGTAATATCGATCTTTGTTGTCAATTATTTTATCCAGGTCACTAGTGAGTTGCTCAAATAGAAATATCAGTTGAGACTGCTAAAAATATAACACGTATCACTTAATTAAATGCCCATTTTAAGTCTAACATTCAACCCATACTTAAAATTTTTCGTTCTGATCGATACACAAATGACTTCATCAGTATAACGGTGATTGATCTCTCTCGTATTTAAGTCTTATTAAATATCGATGGTTTAGCTACAAGCAGTAATCCCATCTCAGGGTTACATTTGGTAAATTATGCTTGAAAAGATTATGTTCGTAATTTTGTGATCATTAGTTTATTACCGATTTTATGCGTATAACTGCAACAGCTTCTTTAGAAAATTAATAAATTACATCTATAATGGATTAAGTTCTCTCTATGTCTGGTTTTTGCACTAATTTAGACTGTATAGTAATAGAAAATCTCATACGGCAGTACAACAGTGGAAGTATTGAGAATAGGTCAATGTAGAATCATTTTAATTACTAGTATGGTTATTTCACTGTCTAGTCTAGAAGAATATTTTTAAAATGTCAATGTGCGCGTTTTTTTCATCCATCAACTCACAATTATCCTAAACATTTTTATTAAATGCCGATTTGTATTGGCGACAACATAATGTCTGTTCTGCATAGACGAAATGGATAATAGCTAACCATTGGATATTTATCGTAATAACATGTGATCAACTCAGTAAGGGGTAATTATAATAGCAGTTGCTTTAATTACATAAAATTATTTCTATAGTATTACTATAATTTCTTTAAATTAATTCTAATTATCTCTACATAGCTATATGAAATATCTGAATCAGTATATAGTAATTTTTGTTCCTGTCAGGAATAAAATGATTATTATTAATAATTCTTCCTTCATATTCATCGTGTCATATATATTCGAGAAATGATTCTTGTGGATCTTTCATGATCCTATGTTGATATTTATTAAATAAATTGGTAAAATTGAAAGTAAGCAATCGTTTACAAGTTTCATTTTAGGCATAGGATAATGATACTAATAGAAGAATACACAATGAATCAATAAAACTTTTGTTCCACTGTGCGATTACTTTGACACTAGATATCAAGCTGTTTCCCCGTTGATGATTGTAGTGCTACATTAGCAGAATAAATTTCTAATGTACGTTTGCATGCTAATAAATTAATTAAGATTTCCCTTGTTTGTAAACATACTTCTATTTTCATACTTATTAAGGTGTAATGAATCTATCAAATAAAGAATTATGGAATAGTTACCCCAACCTCTTACTTTGTTTGTAAATTTCAAATAGTCATAATCCCCTCTGATGTAGGTGTGTAACTATTTAAGTTCTTAAAGTAATAGGTAATGATGTTTAAACGTTGTGATTAGTTGGGTTATCTATTACTATATGTATGAAAGTATGTTTTTAGTTTTAGATATCTCCTTTGACGGTAGTCTATTTATTTAATTAATATAGTAAAACATTTGCTTCAGAATCTGTATTTTCTCTGATACACTCAAATATTATGCCATACCTTAATTTCAAACTCAATGCTACAAATCATCATTCGTGGATTGATCCAATAAAATTCGATAGTATTTTATCCTTGTAGCTATAAGCGTAGATCATCGTTACTCATGAATATCGTTATATTTAACTTTTGAGTAAAAAGATCCTTATTTAATACGCATTCGATGCTATTGACTCATCCTTCCATGATACTATTATCCAAAGATAGAGTTGAAAAGTAAAGTTGCATATCGGTTCGATGATGCTTTTTATTTGAGTAGGGTTATGTAAATCCTCTTTATTGAGTATGATAATGGCATCTTCTGTATGACATTTATAAATAGACGTATAATGGTAAAATAGGCAAATCTACTGCAATATAATTATAGATGAACCATGCAACATGCAGTATACTACATACGAAAACTTGGAAATCCATTTTAATCATATCAACACACCATGGTTTGTTTATTTGAGAATATATACAGAAAAACGATAAAACTCTGGTTTAAACTATCCTTGAATGCGCTTACTATAAAAATAATATAAAAATTAATTGCAATTAAATAACATTTAAATTTTGATACGAATAATAATTAGATAGTAAAAGGTGAGGATGGAAAAATTAGTAAATGATCGCTTTGTAGATTATTTTAGTTACACATTAAATCTAATTACATAGCCCTGCTACAAGAAGAGAAAAGCCGTCATTCAAAATTTTGAAATCATATAATATCATTTATGTATCCAGAGAAAACGATATTAAATACCACTAATATCAGTTTATTAATTACTGACAGTAATGCTGATACCTTACTAAAAAAATGTTGATTTTCATGGCTTTGCTTCAAACAAAAAAAACCGATATGCATGTAAGAGGCGTGGCATCACATCTAACTCAGAATACGCTGTCTTTCTAAGACTAGAATTGAATTTTGTACGTATGTATGTGTAGACTAGACGATATTACGTTGTAATAGATGTTATGCTACTACATTGCACACATATACAACACCATATTTAAAATGAAATAGCACAATCATACGATCTACTTGGATGTAATATATTTACTAATACAAGAATAATTTTAAGAAATACTTCACATTCTTAAGAGTATACCAACATTCAGCTTTTGCAGTCTAAGTATTGGTGAGTTTGTGGATACCAGTTCTCAGCTCCACATCTAATGGCTTGATCCATGTTAGATAACCTGATAAATGACATAGCATTATAATTATAATTATTGATATCAGTTTCTCCAGGTACTGAAGAGTAAGTAGTATCTGGATTATTGGGCAAGAAAGATTCGTCGCTTCCAAAGTTGGGCAGCAAACTGAGGTTACCCTAGAATGATGGAAAATAATCAATACCATAAGTAATTTATTTACAATAGGTTCAGATAGCTATATCCTATCAATTACATCGCGGCATAAAATTTAATTATCTTTACACTGCAGTTACCTCGTGGTGGTTGACTTTTAAGAAATTTTCACTTGAGCCTGTATCATCTTGTAAGTTATCAATGGATGTTTTAAATGACTCGTGGCATTGATACAAAATCATATCATCAAAGACTGCACTGTTGTTAGGAATTTCCTGTAATGGCTGTTGCCCTAGATTGATGCTGTCATATGGTCGATGTACTGGCCATTGTACGTGATTAAGAGTGTTGTCTAAGTCATTAGAAATGATAGCTCCATCAACTACCAGTTGCTGTCTTTCCAAGCTGATACTATGGCTATCGTATGATTCTGGTATGATCATCATTCGATCGAGAGGATGACTATCCGCAAAATAAGAGGCGACATGGACCTTATTTGCATTATAAGTAGTTTCTTGAAACTGTTGTTGATTATTAATCCGATTTACGTAATTTTCACTAACATGCTGAGATTGCTGCTTTGTTGAGTTGATACTGTTCCATTTCCGTTTAACTTTGCTATTTCCTTGACTAAGAGCAGCATTATCTTGATTAGGAGAATGATGTGGCGCGCCAAAATGGGAATCCTCAACGTCACCAGTATTTTTTGGATGATTTTTGTGCGCACCAGGTAAAGGTAGCTGGACATAGTATCTGTAAATATTATTGTATAAGGTTAGAAGACACAAAACAAAACAATAGTTATATTAAATCAGCAATATCTACTTCAGAGATTTCTATAAGGGTTATAAAATTTCGTAAAGCTACCGAAAAGTAACAGAGATAGTAATATTGTCTTTGGATGCTATACAACCTTGTATCGACAGCAATTTCATCACGATTAGCTTTTCTTAGTCTAGATAAAGCGTTTTTTCTTGCTCGGCGAAGATTTTTCCCCTGCTGCTTCAAATCGACTCTAAACCCAGGAAATCGTTTCACGTTCTTGACTATAACTGTAGCTGGACAATAATCCAGTTCATCTTGAGATGATCTGTCGTCATCGGAACTGCATTTTCTTGATCTTAAATGATAAATAGAATATAATTGAAATAAATGTAAAGAATATAGACTATCGAAAATGCAAACATTTCCTTTAGGGTAGTGTGTTGCCTTACTTTTTCGAACAAACTGTGCTTTGCCTTTGAGTAGATGACCGACGTTGACCATACTGGCATTCCCTGACAGTAGCTCTGTTATCGATGTTGATAAAGGGTACTCCATCATCTGGTACATACGAAGATTTCCACATTAACCTACGAAATGATAGATTTATTAGTAAGGTACCTTCTAAGAGCAACCTTGGATACTTAAAATTTGTTACTGTAATAAAAAGGTTGTTAGTAATTGAATCTAAAAGAAATTTTACGTTGATGTCTTATTTAAATGTAAACAAAGGGACATAATTTCATTAAATAACTTGATAAACAGCTAATATCTGAGAAAATAACTGTTATTACAATATAGTAAACTTTGTTATACCTTGTGGAGCTCTTAGGATGTGAAGATGACTGCCTTGTTCCCCATGAAAGTTTGGTTGATTCCTCAAATCGAGCCAGAACAAATTTTAGTTCCTCGATTGTTTTGACGTAACCTCGGCAATAGCTGCTTTTAAACTCTGTTTCATGCAGATAGTAGGCCCATGATACATCATCTAAGTTGGTACTTTGCGGGATACAAAATGTAGGATTTAATTCGACCTTTACATCCAAAACGTCACTACATTCACTAGATTCGTTTGACAATAATATAGGGCTATCGTAATCAGATGAATTGCCTTGATTATTTAAAGAGCAAGACGCACTCTCTTGCAGATTACTCAATGGAGGTAAATGTTGCGACATACTTAAGTTAGTGCTATTATTGACGCTTTCTGATTTAGATTCGAATACGTTTACACTCCAAGATAAGTTACAACCCGATGGATAGGAATTAGCTAGGGATGTGGATTTCATAAATTCAGCTGATGAACTACAGTCCAATTTACACCATTCATCATTTGCAGCACTATTTGTGATCTCAATTGTGTTTTTTACTTGCCGGTTGATTTCTTTACTATTTGCATCGCAGTAAGCGGGAGTACTTATACCTTGGCATGCACGTCGGCTGCCTACATTACGATTTTCGTCATAATTTCGGTATACGTCGTCGTTTCGATTCACTGAAGGATTTAAGTGATTCTTTAAATATGGGCGTAGTGCAAAATTTGGAAATTTAGGTACAATTTTAAGCGAATTGACTTCATAACGCTGTTCGAGTGCCATATATACTGGGCTTTTTGAGGAATCCATCAACCCAATATTACAATTGTTCGAGCTAGACATTATATTACGGATGGAAGCCAATTATTATTGTCAGCTGATAAAAATTCGTGTTCGGACTTGCCAAAAGGAGCAATTACGTGGGTAGACCTCTTAGTTAAAGCTATTAAAAATATACAAAATTATGGGAGTTATGATTACGAATGTAACATTTAGATGTAGTTATATTCAACAAAATAATATGTATGCGAGTTTGCTTATTAATGAAACAGTGTGGATAATCGGGAATGTCAAATATTTGATTAGTATAAACTGCGAAGAATGAGAAAGAAAAAGTCCACCAATATGCAGGGCTGAAAATTAATTCGTTGATAAATAAGCCTTTAACTGTTAATCTTATTCTTTTATCGCAGCAGGTACATTCACAGTATGATACAAAACACTAATGAAATGATAATTACCAAATATAAGGTAGTATAAAGATCGCTTGATGTTGCATTTTTAAAATCTAGGTTAGTATATTTTATTCAGTTAAAAGACACATTCTTGTAGTATACCGACCAAGTTTCGTTTGATCAGCAGCTCCATGGTGCATTACATTGACGAAAAAAAGTTACGTGACTGAAAAATTCTAAGGCTTACAAGCATAAAGCTTTATATCAACTCAAACGCGACTTGCAAGAATTACTTCCGCGGCTAGTCCACAAATTTATGATTATAATCTATTATCATATCATATGCCTGAACGATATTTAAATGCGTAGGAATTATTCATAAGAGGTTTCGAAATTGCCTCGAATATTAATTATTATTTTGAAGGATAACGGCTTTAAAAACTAGAAAGTAGTACAAGATGATGTTATGCAGTAGAAGATCTTAGATAATTTAGCAACGACGCAGATGGAAAAATAGTTAGATGTTTCATATAACAGCTCAAAATATATAGCTTCGTAACCCTACTCATATCGTCTAAAATAGCGTATTGTCGAGTAAATCTAGTGTTAAATACTTCTAAAGAAAATTTTCAAGAACATCCATTTACCTAGAAGTTTATAACAACCAACTAATAGAGTTCAGTAAATAAAGCCGAGAGTACTAATAAGTAAATTCAAAAAATTGAATTAAACTGGGTATCAACACAATCAAGAAGAACGAAATAACTTTTTAAATGTACTTTATATATATTAAATTATTAACTTGTATGAACAGTTACCAGTTTTGCAACTGCGAATTTTATCAATAATTTTGGTGAAAGAATTAGTATATACTCATAAAGCTACCCTTTTTATGAATTACTTGCGTCTAAACTTAGTAAACACAGCTAAGATGAGCTTGTAGTTCATACCGTACTATAACGTAAGAATCTAATCAACTTCATGGACAAGGACTATACGTGTATGATAGATTATTTTTAAAATTTTTATTCTTAAAAAAAAAAATACTATAAAGTGTACATTTTAACGAGTATTATATTTTGAATACTAATTTCATAATAGCGAGGTATTGCAGTTCCATTAATTACTTATTTTAACAGCAAAATATATTTCAAGAAGTTATACTTACCACAGAAAGTGAAAAAGCGAATAGCAAGATATTACTTAATGAACAAATGCAGCATGTAATGCCAAGAAACCTCAATTTGAGGCTTTTTCGGCTTACCTTTATATTCGTTAAAGGTGCGCAGCTACGATAAGATCCACTAACAATTTTCAGAGTTAAAGACCACTTTCTAAATATTATCATAAGAATATCCTACGCCCTGGGGGTAAATTGTTATGCAACTAAATCAATTAAACAATAATGCTCGAAGAATAGTAGACATAGATTAGTGATATAATTTGTTATGGCATGATTTGGAATGAAATTATCCAAGACATAGCAAGAATTTTGAATGTCTAAAGTACTCATAGTTGTAATAGAGTTAAGGAATTCAACAATATAATAAATAGCATTAGGTCATTTGCTGCGATTGTATTTACGAAGGCTAATGAAACTAAACTTTAAACAATTATTTAACAGAATCATCATCAATAGAACAGATTTTAGGGTTCAAATTAGCTTATTTATATATGTTGTATAGATCAATGATGTAGAACATAGCAAAATAGAATTTTTCTTTGATTGTTTCACGTAATTATGGTACTATCAATTCGGAGTCAACCTCTCACTTGCCAAATCGTTAAGGTGTTACAAAGGTGATATAATTTACTTATCTAGCATTATATTGTGAATGTTTTAATTTGCATTAGGTCCTTCATTGGCTTCCAATAGTTACTACTTCCCCTTTACCCCTAATAGAGCTATTGTTTAAATTATTACTTTCAGTAATTCAATCTAGCTTTTTATTACGTTAAAGGTAGCTATAACATCGCAAATCAGGTAAGCCATGAATCACTAAAAGAAGTAGGCAAGGCAACGATGTCTTAATTCAGACTACGAAAATAGCCAAAGTAAAAACCGGATCAAAAGTTGACATTCCTAGGAGGCCAAATATTATCGGGAGAACAAAAATATACCGTAATTTCACATTTAATTTTGCATCATCATTTCAATATCAAAATGAACACGTAAGTAAATACATAGCAGGCAAAACCCGGAAATGTAATTATCATTTTACAATTAGGAAGAGAGCATTAATTAATCAAACCTCAACTTCAAACCTGCTTTGTTATAAAATTGAAGATATCATAGTTAATAATGACACTTGATTAAATATATTAAGCTATTGTTTCTTTTTTTAAATTGTAACCAGAGTTCAATGTCGTCTATACTCTGTTCAAGTTGAGTCGATAGTTAGCTAATTACTTGTGTACGTGAGCAGATGAACTTCAATTTGTTGAGCGTATATCTATATCAAAATATTGTCGCTAATTCTTTTTTTCTTACTACTTTCATGATCCTGTAGAAGCCGAATAGATAGTCTAGTCCGTAAACTACACGTTCACCATGTATTATAATTCAATAGATCAGTAAACGAGTTCAGTTTTGGGATGTTCCATGCAGTACCTATTCAAGCGGCGTTTTTCCATTAGCACATGCAACAAAAATCTTGCGGTCACTATTATGCACAATACAAGGAATAGGTAGTCCTAATCATATAGTTCGAGGCCGTACATTCAACAGATGTCATCAATGTGCGTAATAATATTGAATAGAAATAGGCTGCACTGTATGATACTTCTATTTGCTGGATTATTTCCAAGGCAGATGACATTGTGTTGCATTTACAGAAATTGTGTCGTTGCATTATTTAATTATTAAATCATACTGTCATACGACCTTCGCAAGGATACAAAAGTGTTCACAGCATATTACCGGAAGGAAATTGTTTGATTGATGATAGATACAGTCTTACATATTGAAGTTGAGACACAATATATATTTCAGATATTGACAGTGCTTTATGATTATGATTTGCATACGCTGTCATAAATACTTATGATGCGACTTCGTCAGGATAGAAAAGTGCCAAAAGCAAATTTCTAGAAGCTGTAGTTCAGTTCGAAATCAGCTACGATTAAAATAATAAGATTGAGGTTGAACGTTTGATTACATAATATTTACAGCATGCACTGTGATATATGTGTGCCTTTTCACGGCTGATATATTAGGATTTGTTGACATTATAGATTACGCTAAGTACAGTAGATTAACATTCATCATGACCCTTTAATTAATTAGAAGCGATTGTCAATTATACAGTGGATCATACATTATTATATTGAACTTGATTTGGTGATTTAATTGGCAAAATGTAAATATGTTGCTAAAAATAATATTAGCATCATCTGATACATAGAAATTGTGGATTCTGTTATGTTAAGTTTGACAGTTGTAGACTGACGGTGGATAGTCTTTGGTATTGCTAGACGAACCAAGTTTATGCATTAAAGTGAAATATTACCGGAAATACTAGTTCTTGTTTTGATATTTGAAAACTTTTACCATGGAGGAAATTGTTTACTTGGTTATTATCATAATAGATATCGTTCTGCACTTTTAAATGGGGTTCACATACCTTAGATAACAGTACGCAACAGCTGTTAGCTTGGATAAGCGATCCATGACATAATAAATTTTATTAGCACATCAACTAGAGCCAGCTGATTTACATAATGTTTGTATTCGTCTGGTCATCATGTCAATTGATTCTCTTCCACCATAATTAATTGATAACATAAAATACGATTTATGCATAGGATGAATACGGAGGCGTAGAGTATTTGTCGCAGGTAGTGTTCTAAATTTATCGTGATTAACTGAGAATTTACGAATAAGATTGACTGAGTACCGTATTAAAATAAAGCAAGTTTCGGCGCTGGTGAAGTACCTCAACAACGTCTTAAAGTTGCTCGTGTATTCCTACAGTAATTGTCAAACATACAACTGATTACTACATAGATTATAAGCTATTATATAAACTATAGCATGCATACATAGATTTCTAATTCTCTGTTGTAAATCAGTAATCACTTGCAATTTAAAGCTGTTATTGACGATGATATACTCCTTCTAGTGCTACTCTTAATTCGAGGCAGCGTCTACTTTGTACCTTGCTACTTATTTGACTCATGATGGGCTGATACATATTATAATCAATTAGCACAATTTAAAGTGGGCGTATAGCGTGAATTTGTAATATTTTTCTTGCAGCATAACAAAACTATCCGCTTTTAATATCGTTTCTACCACTATAAATCGCTAACTGGTCAATTCTGATGAAGTTCCTATAGACCAAGGAAATTTTACGACTCTAACGAGTAAAAGATTCACTACTAATAAAATTCGCTGATCGACGGATTGCTATTGCTACTTTAAGAAACGACCACGCATAAGAAAATGATAAAAAAATTCCACGTAATTCACAAGCTTTAAAACAGTGAAACTCTCAAAAGCCGCTGCACTACTCATTTCATGCTATATCATTATGGGATCCTGAGCAATTTCATAATTTTTTATTGCAAAAATTATTATGCAGCTTACATAGCACTGGGTAAAAATAT